GTACCCAATCCTTTTAACCTCCATATCAACACACCCACCAAAAAAAACCATTTCCACAACCTACACCCCCCCCCCTACCCACTCCCCCCCCCCCAAACCCACCCAACCCAACCCACAAACCAACAAAAAACTCACTCCTATAACCAACACAACTCCAAACAACACACCCCAACCCAAACCCTTACCCAAAACAACCCCCAACAACAACTACAACATATCCCAACCCCCAACACAACACAAACTAACACCACCCCACCACCCAACCACACACCCAACCCCCCCCACCCCCAACACCACCCCAACAACCCCCACCTAAACCAAACACATCCCACCCCCACACCCACCCCCCAAACCAAACCCCCAACAACACCCACCACCCCCCACCAAAACCACCCCCAAAAAAACCCAACCACCAACCACCAACCCACACCCCACACACCACCCACATACCACACACAACCCCCACCACCCTACACCACCCACCCCCCCCCACATCACCAAACCCCCCCCCACCCCACCAAACCCCCCACACACACCACCCCACAAACACCAAAAACCAAAAACACACAAACCACAACCAAACCCTACCCAACCCAACCCAATACCAACCCCCCACCCAAAAATCCAAAATCCCCAACCCACTAAACATAACAATACCACCCATCCCAAATACATCCTCCATACCATCTCTTCTATTCCTACATACCCCCCAACCAAACAAACACCATCTACATACTCCACAACAACATATCCAAACACCTAAATTCATCTTCACTCAACTTCCTCTCCCCACCACATTACATTTCCTATCTAATCACCCATCATATTTATACCCCCCCCCCCCACCCTTTTTATCCCCTCCTCCAATACACAAACCCACACCAACCAACCACACAACAACCCCCACCCCCCCCCCAACACCCACCCCCCAACCCCACCCCCCCCCCCCCCCCCCATCCACCCCACAACCCCCACCCACCCCCCACAAAACCACACACCCTACACCAAACCCCCCCAAAAACCACACACCCAACAAACCCACATCACCAAACCCACAACCCAACCAACCACCCATCCCCCACCCCATCCCCCCCATCCCAACACATCCCCCCCATACACTCAAATAACCCCCAACCACAAAAAATCCACCCTTAAACCACACCCAAAACACCAACCCCTCACCCACCCACAAACAAACAACACACACCAAACAAACAAACACCATTCCCCACCCACCACCCCCAAAATCCAACCCCCACCCCCCACCCCACCACACAAAAACAAACACCCCCCCCCACACTCCCCAACCCACCCCCAACACCCCAACAACCCCCACACCACAACCCAAACAACACAAACCCAACCAAAATTAACACTACCAACCAAAACACCACACACCACAACCCCCCCCCCCCATTCCACCCACCCACCACCACAACAAAACACAACACCCCCCACACCCACAACTCCATCAATAAACTAACCCACCCACAACCCCCCACCCACCCACACCACAAAACCCCCCCCAATCCCAACCCCACCCACCACACCAACCAAACCCCCAAATCACAAACTCACCACACCCCCCCCCCCCACCCACCACCCCAACCCCACACCACAAAAAACAACAACCAAACACAACACCACCCAACCTCCCCACAACCCAAACCACACCCAACAACAAAAAACACACCCAACCCCCAATCCACCCACTTACCAACCCCCCTTCATCCCAACTCCCCCCACCCACCCATACTCCCCAAACCACACAACCCCCCAACAACCACCCCCACACAACCACACCCCCCAACCCACCAATCCAAACAACACCCACCACCAACCACACCCCACCCACCACCACCAAACACCCCCCCACCCAACCAAAAAACCCCCAACACCCCCACTAAAACACCCCCCACAACACCAACCCAAAACCCCACCACAAAACCCAAACCCAACACCCAACACCAACCCCTCCACCCCCAACAAACAAAAAACAACAACCCCACCAAACACCCCCCACCCCCCCCCACCCACAAACCACCCCCACCTAAACCCACCCCACAAACCACCCCCACCCTCTACAAACACCACACCAACCCCCCCCACCCCCCACCACCCACACTCCCACATAACCCAAAACCCCCACCACCCACTCAAACAACCCCCCACCACATACCACCCAAACACACCCCCCCCAACCACCCACCCCACAAATCCCTACACAACCCCCCCCCCCCCCCCCCCCCCCCCCACCACACAACCACAAACACAATCTACCAACTACCAACCTACCCACTACTAACTCCCCCCCTCCCCCCCCCAAATCACAACTAACCACCAACCACACCCCCAATACATCAAAAAAAAACCCTACCCCAAACCCAACACACAAAACATCAAACAACACCACTCACACCCCCCCTACCAATCCCCCACCCCACCCAAACTCCCCCCACCCCCCACCCCAAACAACCAAACTAATCAATCAACCATAACCACTACCCTACTATTTATCCACCACAAACAATTAACCATACAAAACCCAAACCACCCCACACCCCCAACCCCCAACATCACACACCCTCCCAAATACAACAAACAACACAAAACATCACACCCCCATACCCCCAAACCCCCCACATTCCCTTAATATCCAACACCATCATACCATTCCCCTTCATTCATTAATTCCCCATCCCAACATACCCTCATACAACAACCATACCATTATCAATTCCAAACCCAACCCCCACCTACCCCCCCCCCCTCACCCCCCATCCCCACCCTACCCCCCCCCCACACCCCACCCCCCACACCCCTTTCTAAACATAAAAACAATCATAACATACACCAACCCTACTACCTACCCCCCTCCACCTAACACATTAACCCAAATACCCATCCCAACCCCCAAACCCCCCAAACCCCCCACTACCACAAACACAAAAACACAAAAAATAAAACCACCAAACTCTCAACACACACAAAACAAAAACACTCACATACACAAAAAACACACAAACACCCCCACCAACCCCCCCCCCCACACCAAACCCCCACCCCCCACCAACCCCACAAACCCACCCCCCCCACCACCCCCCAAACCCCCCCCCCAACCAACCAACCCCCCCCCACACTCCCCCACCCCCACACAACCCCCCCACACACCACCCCCACCCACCCCCCACCACCAACCCCCCCCCCCCCCCAACCCCCCACCCAAACCCCAACCCCCCACCACCCACCCCCCCCCCAACCCACCCACAACCCACCACACCCCCCCCCCCCACACCCCCACCCCCAACCCAAACCACAACAAAACCCCAACACCCCTACCCCCCCCACCCAAACACACCCCCCCCAAAACACCCCCACCCAACCCACCCAAACACCAAACAAAAACACACCACACCTACCACACACACCACACACACACCACACAACCACTCACACCACACACACCAAAACACACACCCCACACACACACACACACACCACACACACCACACACACCACACACCACCCACACACACTCACACTCCCATCTCTCTCCCATCTCACACCCCACTACACACTCCCCCCCATTCACTCCTCTCACACTTCCCTCAACACCTACACACACACACCCTCACACCACACAACCACACACACCACACACACCTCACTCAACACCAACACAACACCCACACCCACACACACAACACCCACACCCCCCCACACCCACTCACACACCACACACATCCCCACACACCACCAACACACACCCCCACACACACCAACACACACACCACACAACCCACACCCACCACACACACCACCACATCTACACTCCCACACAACCACAACACACACACACCCCACCCCCAACAAAACCACCAAACCCACACCAATAACCCACCCCACACACACCCACAAACCACACCCACAAATAACCCCAAAACACACCCACCAACAACCACCCCAAAATACCACCACAAACCCAAACCACTCCCCCAAACCAACCACCACACCACAACCCCCAACCAACCCCCCCCCCCCCCCCACACCCCCCCCCACCACACACCCACCCCCCCCACCACAACCACCACCACACCACCACCCCCACCCCAACCACCCCCCCCCCCCCCCCCAACCAACCCAACCACCACAAACACACCAACCACAACACCACCAACCAAAAACCCACCAACACAAAACCACAACCACAACCACACACCCAACAACAAAACCACAACCCACAACAACACCTACATCAAAAAACCAACAACAACCTCCACCCAACACAAAAAAAACCTACCAAAACCTACCAACCACAACTCACCAACAACAACAACACCAACACAACAACACCAACCAACCACCACCCAACACACACCAACACCAACAAACCAAACCAACACACAAAAACACCCCCAAAACAAACAACACCACCTACAACAACCACCAACCACACAAACCAACAATCAACCCTAACTCAAACTCCTTACAACACAAAACACCACCCCCACCCCCCCCACCCCCCCCCACACCACCCACCCCCCCCCCCCCCCCCCCACCAACCACACCACCCCCACCCCACCAACCCCCCACCCCCAACTCCCAAACACCCCCCCACAACCCCCCACCCCCCCCCACAACCCCACCCCCCCCCCCACACCCCCCCCCCACCACCCCCCCACACCACCCCCCACAAAACAAACCCCACCCCCCCCAAAACAAAAACCCACACCCCAAACAAAAAAAACAACCACCCAACACCAACTCCCCCCCCAAACCCCAACAACAACCCCCACACCACATACCCCCACACACCACAAACCCCCCCACCACCCCCCCACACACCCCCAAACACACCCAACACAACCCCCCACACCCCAAACCCACCACCAACAACAACCCCCACCAACAAAACAACAACCACACAACACCCCCCCCCCCACAATAAACCATTACCAAAAAACACCCACCACACACCCCCAAAACAACCCCCACAACACCTAACACCAAAAACCCAAACCCAACCCCACCAACACCAACCCCCCCCCCCCCCCCCACCCCCCCCCCCACACCCCAAAACACCCACCCCACCCCCCCCACCCCCAAACCCACACCACCCCCACACACACACAACCACCCCCCCACCCCCCCCCCAAACCCACACAATAACAACCCCCAAAACCACCCCACCCCCCCCCCCCCCCCCCACCACCCCCCCCCCCCCACAAACCCCCCCCCCCCAACCACCCCAAAAACACACACAAACCCACCACACACCCCCCCCCCCCACACCCCCCCCCCCCCCCCCCCACCCCCCCCCCCCCCAAACAAAAAAACAAACAAACCACCCCACAACCCCCCCCACCCACCCCCCCCACCCCACCCCACACCAACCACCCCAACCACCCCCCACCCCCCAACCCCCCCCACCCCCCCCCCCCCCCCCCCCACCCACCCCCCACAAACCCCCCACACCCACCCACCCCCACCAACCCCCCCCCACCCCCCCCCCCCCCCCACCCCACAAAAACACCCCCCACCAACCCCCCACCAACACACCCCCCACACCCCACACAACCCCCACCAACCCCACACCCCCCCCCACACACACCCCCCCACCACACAACCCACCACCACCCCCACCACCCAAACCCAAACCCCCCAACCAACACACCCACCAACACACCCCCACCACCCCAACCCCCCAACAACACACCATCCACAACACCAAACCCAAACCCAACCCCCCCCCCCACCACCCCCCCAACCCCCCCACACCCAACACAAATCCCACCCCCCCCACCCCAAACCAAACCCCACCCCCCCCCACCCCCCCCCACAAAACCCCCCCCCCCCCCCCCCACACCACCCACCCACACCACACCACAAACACCCCCCCCCCTCAACCACCCAACACCCCCCACACAACACAAACAAACCACCAACACCACACACACAACCACCCCCCCCCACCCCACCCACAACCCACAACCACCCCAAACCCCCCACCAACCCCCCCCACCCAACACACCACCCAAAACACACAACCCCCCCCCCACCCCACACAAACCCAAAACACCCCAACCCCCCCACCCCCCCACACCCCACACACACACCAACCCACCACCCAACCCACCCCCACACCACCCCCACACCCCCCACACACCCAAACCCAACACACCCCACCACCCCCCACCACACACCCACCCCAACAAACAAAAACCAACCACCCCCACCCCACAACCCACCCCCCCCCCCCCCCACCACCACCCCACACCACCACCACCAACCCCCCCCCACCCCCCCCCCCCCCCCACCACACCACCAACAACCCCCCACCCCCCCACCCCCCCCCCCAACACCACAACCCCCCCACCCCACCAAACCCACCCACCCCCCCAAAAACCCCCCCCCCCCCCCCAACACCACCCAACCAACAAACACCCAACACCACACCCCACAAACAAAACAACCACCCCAAACCCCCCCACACACCACCCCCCAACCCCCCACCAAACAACACCACCACCCCCCACACCCCCCCCTCCAACCCCCCCACACACCCCACCAAACACCCCCCTAAACCCACCAAACCAACCCACCACCCCCCCCCCCCCCAACCCACCCCCACCCACCCACACCCACCCCACCCCCCCCCCACCCCCCCCCCCCCCCCTCAAAACCCAACCCACCCACACACACACCCAAACCAAAAACCCACACACTCCCCCAACCACACCACACCAACAAAAAAACCACCACCCCCCCCCACAAACACCCCCCCCCCACCCCCCCCCAACCCCCCACACAACCACACCACCCCCACAAACCCCCCCAACCCCCCCAACCCCCCCCCCCCCCACCCCAACCACAACACACCCCACCCCAACCCCCAACCCCCCACCCACACCCCCAACAAACCCCCCAACACCCACCCCCAACACCCCCCCCCAACCCCCCCCCAAACCCCCAACCCCCCCACCCCCACCCCCAACCCAACCCACACCCACCCACCAAAAACCCCCACACCCACCCCCCCCCACCCCCCCACCCCCCCCCCCCCCCCCCCCCACCCACCCCCAACCACCACCCACCCCCCCCCCCCCCCCCCCCCCCCCACCACACACCCCCCAAACAACCCCAAAAAACCCCACAACCCACCCCCCCACCCCCCCCCCCCCAAACAACACCACACCCCAAACACAACACCACACCACCAACCCCAAAAACACCCCCACCACCAACCAACCCCCCCCCCCCCCCCCCCACCCAACACAAACCACCACACCAACCACACCCCCAAAACCAACCCAACAACCCCAACACCCCCACCCCCCACACCCACCAACCCACCCCCACCCAACAACCCACCCCCCACCCCCCAAACCCCCCCAACCCCCCCACCCCCCCCACACCACCCCCCCCCCCCCCACACAACCCCCCCAACCCCACCCCCCCCAACCCCCCCCACCCCCAAAACCCCCCCCCCCCCCCCCCACACCCCCCCCCACCACCACCCCCCCCAACACCCACCCAACCCCCCCCAAAACCCCCCCCCCACCCCAACACCCCCCAAAACACAACCCCCCAACCCCACACCCCCCACCACACCCACCAACACCCCCCCCCCCACAACCCCCCCACCAACCCCCCACCAACCACCCCCACCCCACCCCCAAAACCCCCCAAACCCAAACACCCCCCCCCAAACCACACAACCCACCCACCCACCACCCAACCCCCCCCCCAAACCCAAAAAACAACCCCACACAACCAACACACCCCAACAACCCCAACCCCCCCCACACCCCCCCCCCAACCCACACCACCCACCCCCCCCCAAACACCCCCAAACCCACACCACCCACCACCCCCCCCACCCCCACCCACCACCCCCAAAAACCCCCACCCCCCACCCCCCACCCCACCTCCCCCCAACCACCCCCCCCCCCCCCCCCCACCCAACCCCCCCCACCACAAAACACCACCCCCACACAACACACCAACCCCCCACCCACCAAAACCCCCACCCACCAAACCCACCCACCAAACCCCTCCAACCAAACCCCACCCACCAAACCCCACCACCCAACCCCCACCCACCAAAACCCCCACAACAAACCCACCCCACAAAACCCCACACAAACCCACCCACCAACCCCACCACCAACCACCAACCAAACCCCACACCAAACCCCACACCAAACCCACCACACAACCACACCCCCACCAAACCACACAAACCCACCCACCAAAACCCCAACCAAACCCCACCACACAACACCACCAACCCACACACCCACCCACCCCACACCAACCCACCCCCCACACACCCCCCCACCCCACAACCACACCACACCCACCCCACAAACCCCCCCCCCCCCCACCAACACAAAACCACACCCACACAAAAACCACCCCAAATCTAACCCCAACAACCCCAACACCCACCCACACAACCAACCCCACAACAACAAACAACCAACCACAACCAAAACACCACACACAACCCAAACCACACACCACCCAACACACCCCCTACCCCCCAACCCCCCCCAACCCCACAACCCAAAAACACCCCACCCCCCCAACCCCCAACCCCCAACCCACCAAACCCCCCAACCCCCAACCACCCAACCCCCACCCCCAACACCCCCAACCCCCCAACCCCCCAACCCCCAACCCCCAACCACCAACCACCCTACCCCCAACCCCCAACCCCCCAACCCCCAACCCCCCAACCCCAACCCCCAACCCCCAACCCCCCACCCACCACCAACCAACCCCCAACCAAACCACCCCAACCCCCCAACCCCCCAACCCCCACCCCCCACCCCCCCAACCCCCCCCAAACAACCCCACCCCCCCCAACCCCCCCCCCACCACACACCCAACACCCACCAACCCACACACCCAACACCCCCAAACACAACCCCCCCCCCCCCCCCCACACAACCCACCCACACACTCACCACCACAACACCACAACAACCTCCCAACCACAACAACCAACCACCACACTCCCCACACAACCCACAACCCAACCAACCCCCCCCCAAAAAAAAAAAAAAAAAAACCCCCCCCCCCAAACCCCCCCCCAACACCAAACACACAAACCCAAAACACACAAACAACCAACACCACCCCCCCCCCCAAACCCCACACAACCAAACCAAACCCCCCAACCACCCCACACAACAAACCCAACCCACCACACCCCAACACAACAACCACAAACACACCCAACCCCAAAAACAAAACACAAAAACACCCACCAAAAAACCCCCCCCCCAACCCCCCACCACCACCCCCACCCCCAACCCCCACCCACCCACCCCCACCCCAACAAACACACCAAAACCACCCAAACCACCACCCCCCACCCCCCCCAAACCCCCCCCACCCCCCCCCCACCCCACCCCCCCCACCCCAACCCCCCCCCCCCACCCCCACCAACCCACACACCCCCCCCCACCCCACCCCCCACCCCACACCACCCCAACCCCAACACAAACCCCCACAACAACAAAACAACAACAACACACACCCCCAACACCACCACCACCCAACACCCAACCCCCCACCCCCCACCACACACCCCCCCACCCCAAACACCACCCCCCCCCACCCCACCCCCCCCCAAACACAACCACACAACCACCCCCCCAACCCCCCACCAAAACAACCCCCCCAAAAACACAACCACCCAAACACAACCCACCACCACCCCCCCAAACACCCACACAAACCCCCCACCCCACACACCCCCCCCCCCCCACAACCCCAAAAACCCCCCCCCCCCCACCCCCCCCCCCACCCCCCCCAACCCCCCACCCCAAACAAACACCCCACCCCACCCCCCCACCCAACCCCCCCCACCCACCCCAACCCCACCACTCCAACACCCAACCCCCCCCACAACAACCACCAAACAACACAACCACCCACCCACCCCCCCCCCCCCACACCCCACCACCCATACAACACACCCACCCCCACCAAAACAACCCAAACAACCACCCACCCCCCCCCCACAAACCAACCAAACACAACACCTCAAACACAAAAAAAAACCCACCACCCAACCCAACCACACCCAACCCCCCAACCCCACCCACCCCCACCCCCCCAACACCCCACCCAACCCCCCCCCCCCCCCCCCACAAACACCCCCACACCCACCCCCCACAAACACCAACACCAACACCCAACCCACCCCCCCCCAACCCACACCACAACCCCCCAACCCCCACAAACCCCCCCCCCAACACCCCATCAACCACACCCCACCCCACCCCACACCAACCCCCAACCAAAACAACCCAACACAACACCCCCCCCCCACACCACCAACACCAACCCACACAAACACAACAAACACCCCCAACCAAACTACAACCAAACAACCACCCCACACCCCCCCCCCCCCCCACCCCCCCCCCACCCAACCAACCAACAAACACCCCCCACAAACCCCCACCCCCCCAACCACAAAACACCCACCCCCACCCCCACAACCACAAACCAACACCCACAAACCAACCTACACCCTACAAACAAAACAACCCCACACACAACCCCCCACCCCACAACAACCCACCACCCAAACCCCCACCCCCCCCCACCACCACCACAACAACACCCCACACCCACCAAACAACCACAACAACCCACCACAACCCCCCCCCCCCCATAAAACCCACAAACCCCCATCCCACCAACCCACACCCCCCAACCCACACCCCCCCAACACCAACACAAACACCACCCCCCCCCCCCCCCCACATACAACCACACCTCAAACAAACAAAAATCACACAAAAAACCCACCCCCCCCCCCCAAACACCCAAAACCCCAACCACCAACCACTAACTAAACACTCACAACCACCAAACAACCAAACACCCCAACACCCCCCACCCCCACCACCCACACACCCCACAACCCCAATCCCCCCCCAAAACACACCAAAAACAACCCCCCCACCACCACCAACCTTCACATACACCCCCACCACAACCAAACCCACACCACCCACAAAACCCCCCAACCCCCCCAAACTAACAATACCCCCCCAAACTTCCCCCTTACCATACCTCCCCCAAACCTCCCAATCCCAACATTTCCCTCCTATATCCCATATTTAACCAACTTCCATCCAATCCATAATTTCATTCTTTATCATTATTCTCCCCTCCTTTCCCCATAACCCCCCACATCCCCCCCACCCCAACAACCCAAAACTTTTCCTTCCCCCCCCCACTTTTCACCCCTCAACTCCCCCTTACCTCCCTCCATATTATTTTTCACCCTCTCATCCCACCCACCCCCCCCTCCACCACCACCCCCCACACCTCCCCCCCCACCCACACCCACAACAACCCCCCACCCCATCCCCAACCACCCCCCCCCCCCCAACCACAACCACCCCACAAAACCCAACACAACCCCCCCCCCCCCACCCCCAAACAACCAACCAACAATTCCACAACAACCCCCCAACCCACAACACCACACCCCCAACACACCTTCCCACAACACACAACACCCCCACAACATCCAAAAACCACCTTCCCCCCCCCACATACCCCCCCAAACACACAACCAAACACCCCCACCACACCCCCCCCCCCCCAAACAAACCCCCACCCACCCCCAAACTCCACCCCCCCCCCCCACCACCCCCAAACCAAAACCCCCACACCCAACCCACACCCAACAAAAACCCCACAACACCATCCCCCCAAACACACCCCCACCCCCCCACCCACCACCCAACACCCACAACCACCAACCACCCAAAACCAACACAACACCACCACCCCACCCCACCAACCCAACCAAACCACACACACAAAACAACAACTACAACACCAACCCACCACCCATCCCAACCAACACACCCCATCCCCCCACCACCCCCACCCCCACACCCAACCCCCCCCCCCCCCCCCCCCAACCCCCCATCCAAACAACAACCAAACCACCAAAAACCCACCCCACACCCCCAACCCCCCCCCCACACCACACCACAAAACACAACCAAAAACCCCAATCCCCAACCCCCCCTAAACAAACACAAACACTCACCTAAAAAACTCAAACAACAAATACAAAAAAAACACAAAAAAAAAAACCACAAAAACACACCAACACAAAACCAAAACCCCCACACCCCCCCCCACCCCCCAACACCCCCCCCCCCCCCAACCCCCCCACAAACCCACCCCCCCCCACCCCCCCCACACCCCCCACCCAACAAACCCCCACACACCAACACCCCACCCCCCAAACAACCCCCCCCCCCCCCCACCCCCCACCACCACAACCACCACCCCCACCACCACCACCCAAACCCCAACACCCACCCCCAAACACCCCCACACCCCCCCCCACCACCCCCAACCCCCCCCCCCAAACCACCCCCACCCCACCCACAACCCCCCCACACCCCCAACCCACCCCAAACACCAACCAAAACCCAACACCCAACCCACCCACAAACACCCCCCCAAACACCCCCAACCAACCACCCAAAACACAAAAAACCCCACACACACAACACACACAACAAACCACACACAACAACACACCACACACACACACAACACACAACACACCACAACACACACAACACCAACACACCACACACACCCACACACAACCAACACACCACACAACAACACAACAACCCACACAACACCAACACAACCCACAACACACACACACACAACACACACCCACACACACCCACAAAACCCGCACACACCAACACACACCCCCACAACAAACCACACAACACCACACCCCACACCACACACACCCACACACACACACACCACACACACACACCACACACCCCACCAACAAACACACAACACCACACACACACCACACACAACCCCACACCCACCACACAACACACCACAAAACACACACACCAAAACACCACAACCCCCCCCCCAACCCCCCCCACCCAACCACACCTCCCACCCACACACACCAACCACACCACACCCCCACACACCCACAACACCCACACCACCACCACAACCCAAACACCACAACCCACACCACCAAAACCCCAACACCCCCCCCCCCACCAACCCCCCCCACACACACCCCACCCACCCCCCCAACACAACCCCCACCAACCACCCCCCACCCAACCAACCCCCACCCCCCCCCAACCCCCCAACACACAAACCCCCAAACCCATACAACAAATCCAACACAAAACACACCAACCACACACCACCAACTCAAAAAACCACCAAACCACAACACCACCCCAAACCACAAAAACACCCAACCAAACACCCACCAACACAACACCACCCAACCACAACAACACCCAACAACACCACCCACACACAAACCACCAACCACAAACACCACCAACACACACACCAACCAAACCCACAACACCACCAACCAACACACCAACCACAAAACCACAACCACACACCACCAACCACAAAACCACCAACACAACACCACCCCCCACCAAACAAACAACACCAACCAACACCCACCAACCACAACCCACACACCACCACAACCACAACACCCCCCCAACCCCCCACCCCCCCCCCCCCCACCACCCCCCCTCCACCCCCCCCCCCCCCCACCCACCCACCCCCCCCCCCCACCCACCAACCACACCCCCCACCCAACCCCCCCACCCCCCCCCCCCACCCACCCCCCCCACCCCCCCCCCCACACCCCCCCAACCCACCCCCCACAAAAACAAACCCACCCCCCACCAAAAACACACCAACCCACACCCCCAACTAAAAAAAAAACACCACCCCACCCACCCATCCCCCCCCCCTACCCCCCACACACCCCACCAAACCCACCACCACCAACCAACACCCCCCACACACCCACACACACCCAAACACCCCACCCACACACAACCACCACCACCCCACACCCCCACCCAAACAAACACCCACCACCAAACCCCCCCCCCCCACAAACAAACCAAACCCCCCCCCCCCCCCCAACAAACCCACCACACCCCCCCCCAACCCACCACCCAACAAACACCCAACACACCACACCCCCCCCCCACCCCCAACCCAACCCCCCCCCCCCCCCCCCACCCCCCCCCACCCCACAATCACACCCCACCCACCCCCCACCCCACAACCCCCCACCCCCCCACACACACACACCCCACCCCCCCCACCCCCACCCCCCACACCCCACCCACACCACCAAACACCCCAACCCCCCCCCCCCCCCCCCCCCCCCCCCCACAACCCCCCCCCACCACCCCCCCACCAACACACCACACCCCCCCAACACAACCCCCCCCCCCCCCCCCCCCCCCCCCCCCCCCCCCCCCCCAAACAAAAAAACAACCACCCCCACAACCACCCCACACCACCCCCCCCCCCCCCACCCCCACCCACACCAACCCCACCCAACACCCACCCCCAAACCCCCCCCACCCCCCCCCCCCCCCCCCTCCCACCCCCCCCCCCACAAACCCCAACACCAACAACCCACCCCCACCAACCCCCCCCCCCCCCCCCCCCCCCCCCACCCCACCAAAAACACCCCCACCACAACCCCCCCCACCCCCAAACCACCCCCACCAACCCACACACCCCCACCACCCCCACCACCCCCACCACCACACCCCCACCACCACACAACCCCCACCAACCCCCCCACCACACCACCCACACAAACCACCCCAAACACACCCACACCCCAACCCCCCCAACACACACCAACCACAACACCACCCCCCAAACCCCCAACCCCCCCCACCCCCCCCACCCCCCCCCCCAAACCACACACCCCCCCCCACCCAACCAACCCCCCACCCACCCACCACAAACCCCCCCCCCCCACCCCCCAACACCACACCACCACCCACCCCCACAACACCCCCAACAACCCACACCCCCCCACAAAAAAACCAACACACCCAACACCACACACAACACCCCCCCCCCCCACCCCACCCACAACCCCCACCCACCCCCAACCCCCACCCCAACACCCCCCACCAACACACCCAACAACCACAAACCCCCCCCCCACCCCCCCAACCCCACACACCAACCCCCCCCCCCCCCCCCAACACCCACACACACACAACCCACCCACCCCCAACCACCCCCCCCCCAAACCCAACCCCACACCCCCCACACACCCAAACCCAAACACCCCCAAACCCCCACCCACACCACCCACCCAAAACAAAAAAAACCCAACACCCACACACCACACCCCCCCCCCCCCAACAACCAAACCCCACACATCCCCACAAAAACCCCCCCCCACCCCCCCCCCCCCCCACCCACCACCACCACACAACCCCCCCCCCCACCCACCCCCCCCCCCAAACCACACCCACCCCCCCCCACCCCAACCAACACCCCACCCCACCCCCCCCCCCCCACAAACCCCCCCCCCCCCCCCAACACACCACCCACACAATCACAACCAACACCCTACCACCCACACCCCCCCCCACACCAACCAAAACACCACCCCAACCCCCCCCCACACACCACCCCCCTACCACAACCACACAACCACCACCCTCCCCCCACACACCACCCACCCCCACCAACTCAGAGTCCGCAGTTTCAGAGTCCGCAGTTTTGGAGCAGGTTCCAGACTTCCTGCTGCTTTCGGAGGAAAACGGCGATGTTCCACACGCCTCAGCGGCGGCGACGGTGAAAGTGTCGAGGCGGGAGGACGTCAATATTCTCTTTTGTGTGTGTTTTCAGGGTTTGAAAGGCTCTCATTGGGATTGTCGCCCACTCTGCTCTCACAGAGAACGCACAACAACGTCCACAGTGATCCAAAGTGGCTTCACGGCGTTTATCGGATTTATCGTCAGCTGTTGTTTAGAACGAGAGGTTTTAAAGATGGTGAACTCTGGAGAGGTAATGACATCCTCTGCTCTCTCTCTCTGCTCTTTCTCCCTTCTCTCTCCTCCCTCTGCTCTCTCGTTCCTCCCATACCTGCATATGAAAGTCTGACACTGTCAGACCTCTGAAGCTAAGCAGGGAAGGGCCTCCTGGGCCCATTACTGTGATGGGAGACCTCTGGGAACACCAGGTGCCACAGTGGGGTGCTGCAGTGGTAGTTTATCACCACAGTGTAGAGAAAGAGACCGGTGCAGATGCATTATGAACTACAGACTGAAGCAAACTGTTTATTTAACTGTATGTGAATAAAAAAGGTACAAATTCCCAAAAAGCAGTGAGTAAAAAGTTTTCTATGCTTTGTTCGAACAGCTTGAATAATGCACAGAGCCGTGGCAGGAGTGTGTCTGTGTCTGTGTGAGTGTGTCTGTGTCTGTGTCTGTGTGTGTGTGTCTGTGTCTGTGTCTGTGTCTGTGTCTGTGTCTGTGTGTGTGTGTGTCTGTGTGTCTGTGTCTGTGTCTGTGTCTGTGTGCGTGTCTGTGTCTGTGGCTGTCTGTGTGTCCCTGTGTGTCTGTGGCTGTGTCTGTGTCTGTGGCTGTCTGTGTGTCTGTGTCTGTGGCTGTCTGTGTCTGTGGCTGTCTGATGTGTCTGTGTCTGTGTGTCTGTGTCTGTGTCTGTGTCTGTGGCTGTCTGTGTGTCTGTGTCTGTGTCTGTGTCTGTGTGTGTGTCTGTGTCTGTGGCTGTCTCTGTGTCTGTGGCTGTGTCTGTGGCTGTGTCTGTGTGTGTGTGTCTATGGCTGTGTCTGTGTGTGTCTGTGCCCGTGTCGGCAGGTTGAAAATAGAAATGTATTAACTTGAACTTTTTTAGAACAAAACAATTTCTCCTCTGGCTGCGACATCATAAGCTCCAGGTCGCACTCAGACCTTCGTCTGAGTTCTCTCTCTCTGGTCTCCCTCTTTGTTCTCTGGTCTCTGGTCTCTCTCTGGTCTCTCTCGGTCTCTCTCTCTCTTTGGTCTCTCTCCGGTCTCTCTGGTTCTCTCTCTGGTCTCTCTCTGGTCTCTCTCCGGTCTCTCTGGTTCTCTCTCTGGTCTCTCTCTGGTCTCTCTCTGGTCTCTCTCCCTCTCTGGTCTCTCTACTGGTCCCTCTAGGTCATTTTTCTCTGGTTTCTCTGGTCTCTGGTCCCTTTCTCTCTCTGGTCCTCTCAGTCTTGGTTTCTCTGGTCTCACTCTGGTCCCTCTCTAGTCTCTCTTTTTCTCGGTCTCCTCTGGTCTCTGGTCCCAGATCTCGGGGTGGGTCCTTCAGTCTCTGGTCTCTCTCTCTGGTCCCTCGAGTCTATTTTCTGGTCTCTCTCTGGTCTCTCTCTGGTCTCTCTCTGGTCTCTCTGGTCTCTCTCTCTCTCTCTGGTCTCTCTCTGGTCTCTCTCAGGGTCTCTCTCGGGTCTCTCTCGGGTCTCTCTCGTCTCTCTCTGGTCTCTCTCTGGTCTCTCTCTGGTCTCTCTCTGGTCTCTCTCTGGTCTCTCTCTGGTCTCTCTCTGGTCTCTTCTCTGGTCTCCTCTCTGGTCTCTCTCTGGTCTCTCTCTGGTCTCTCTCTCTGGTCTCTCTCTGGTCTCTCTCTGGTCTCTCTCTGGTCTCTCTCTGGTCTCTCTCTGGTCTCTCTCTGGTCTCTCTCTGGTCTCTCTCTGGTCTCTCTGGTCTCTCTCTGGTCTCTCTCTGGTCTCTCTCTGGTCTCTCTCTGGTCTCTCTCTGGTCTCTCTCTGGTCTCTCTCTGGTCTCTCTCTGGTCTCTCTCTGGTCTCTCTCTGGTCTCTCTCTGGTCTCTCTCTGGTCTCTCTCTGGTCTCTCTCTGGTCTCTCTCTGGTCTCTCTCTGGTCTCTCTCTGGTCTCTCTCTGGTCTCTCTCTGGTCTCTCTCTGGTCTCTCTCTGGTCTCTCTCTGGTCTCTCTCTGGTCTCTCTCTGGTCTCTCTCTGGTCTCTCTGGTCTCTCTCTGGTCTCTCTCTGGTCTCTCTCTGGTCTCTCTCTGGTCTCTCTCTGGTCTCTCTCTGGTCTCTCTCTGGTCTCTCTCTGGTCTCTCTCTGGTCTCTCTCTGGTCTCTCTCTGGTCTCTCTCTGGTCTCTCTCTGGTAGCTCTCTCTGGTAGCTCTCTCTGGTCTCTCTCTGGTAGCTCTCTCTGGTCTCTCTCTCTGGTCTCTCTCTCTGGTCTCTCTCTGGTCTCTCTCTCTGGTCTCTCTCTCCGGTCTCTCTCTCTGGTCTCTCTCTCTCTGGTCTCTCTCTGGTCTCTCTCTGGTCTCTCTCTGGTCTCTCTCTGGTCCCTCTCTGGTCTCTCTCTGGTCTCTCTCTCTGGTCTCTCTCTGGTCTCTCTCTGGTCTCTCTCTGGTCTCTCTCTGGTCTCTGATAATGAGGTGATGAGTGAATCTTCTTGTGTCTGATTTAATCCCAGATATCCTCTGTTCAGTCTGGTGGTGGTGGTGGGAGGGGCTGATGGCACAGACTGGTTGCCTTGCTTCTGTCAGTCTGCCCCAGGGCAGCTGTGTTTGGAGTAAAAGAATAATGACGTGAAAAACACTGTTTTTAGAGTATGTGACATCACACTGTGTGACATCACACTGTGTGACATCACACTGTGTGACATCACACTGTGTGACACTGAACCCTCCTTACCAACAGTGTCTGTTACACATGTGTGTGAGAAACTATAAATGTGACCATTTACCATAATGTCATCGTCTCCCTCTGGTCTCCCTCTGGTCTCCCTCTGGTCTCCCTCTGGTCTCTCTCTGGTCTCCCTCTGGTCTCTCTCTGGTCTCTCTCTGGTCTCTCTCTGGTCTCTCTCTGGTCTCTCTCTGGTCTCTCTCTGGTCTCTCTCTGGTCTCTCTCTGGTCTCTCTCTCTGGTCTCCCTCTGGTCTCTCTCTCTGGTCTCTCTCTGGTCTCTCTCTCTGGTCTCTCTCTCTGGTCTCTCTCTGGTCTCTCTCTGGTCTCTCTCCGGTCTCCCTCTGGTCTCCCTCTGGTCTCCCTCTGGTCTCCCTCTGGTCTCTCTCTCTGGTCTCTCTCTCTGGTCTCTCTCTCTGGTCTCTCTCTCTGGTCTCTCTCTGGTCTCTCCCTCTGGTCTCCCTCTGGTCTCTCTCTCTGGTCTCTCTCTCTGGTCTCTCTCTGATCTCTCTCTCTGGTCTCTCTCTCTGGTCTCTCTCTCTGGTCTCCCTCTGGTCTCTCTCTCTGGTCTCCCTCTGGTCTCTCTCTCTGGTCTCTCTCTCTGGTCTCTCTCTCTGGTCTCTCTCTCTGGTCTCTCTCTCTGGTCTCTCTCTCTGGTCTCTCTCTCTGGTCTCTCTCTCTGGGCTCTCTCTGGTCTCCCTCTGGTCTCTCTCTCTGGTCTCTCTCTCTGGTCTCTCTCTCTGGTCTCTCTCTCTGGTCTCTCTCTCTGGTCTCTCTCTGGTCTCTCCCTCTGGTCTCCCTCTGGTCTCCCTCTGGTCTCTCTCTCTGGTCTCTCTCTCTGGTCTCTCTCTCTGGTCTCTCTCTCTGGTCTCTCTCTGGTCTCGCTCTCTGGTCTCTCTCTCTGGTCTCTCTCTCTGGTCTCTCTCTCTGGTCTCTCCCTCTGGTCTCTCCCTCTGGTCTCTCTCTCTGGTCTCTCTCTCTGGTCTCTCTCTGGTCTCTCTCTCTGGTCTCTCTCTGGTCTCTCTCTGGTCTCCCTCTGGTCTCTCTCTCTGGTCTCTCTCTCTGGTCTCTCTCTCTGGTCTCTCTCTCTGGTCTCTCTCTGGTCTCTCTCTGGTCTCCCTATGATCTCCCTCTGGTTTCATGTCTCTCCTCTTGTCCACAGACCTCACAATGCCTCCTCCCCCTCTCTGTCTGCTGTGTGTCTTGAGCGTCCTCTTGTCCCCGGTCTCTGGTCACGAACACGATCACCACCATCACCATAACGGCTCCCGCGGCGCACAGACACCTGCCGGCGCCTCCCTGGAGCAGGAGCAGCACTTCTACATCCAGCAGCTGTTCGCTCGTCACGGCTCTCGCGGTCGACTGGACTTTGCCGGGTTTGAGAAGCTTCTGCTCAGTCTCGGTCTCGGCGAGGTCAAAGTGGTGACGGTGGACCATGAAGAGCTGGGGCACGACCACGTGGCGCACCTGGACGCACTGGACGTTCAAGTCGGAGAGCACAAACACACGCCAGAAGGAACGCACAAGCATGGACCAGAAGGAGCTCACAAGCATGGACCAGAAGGAGCGCACAAGCATGGACCAGAAGGAGCGCACAAGCATGGACCAGAAGGAGCGCACAAGCATGGACCAGAAGGTGCGCACAAGCATGGACCAGAAGGAGCGCACAAGCATGGACCAGAAGGAGCGCACAGACACACAGAGCACAATCATGAACACACGGACCAGGTGGCAACAACCAAGTGTACGACCCACAACAGCACCGAGGCCGAGACGCGGCACAAGAAGGAGCCGCACTCGCACCATTCGCACCACGGACACGTAAGTCTGACCCGGGTCAAAGACCAGGATGTTGGTTCAGGATCATTTCAGAGAAAATGGATCAAGCCTTCCATAGTGTTTGTTAACTCTCTGGTCTCTCTCTGGTCTCTCTCTCTCTCTGGGCTCTCTCTGGTCTCTCTCTCTGGGCTCTCTCTGGTGTCTCTCTCTCTCTGGTCTCTCTCTCTGGTCTCTCTCTGGTGTCTCTCTCTCTGGTCTCTCTCTCTGGGCTCTCTCTGGTGTCTCTCTCTGGGCTCTCTCTGGTGTCTCTCTCTGGTGTCTTTCTCTCTGGTCTCTCTCTCTGGGCTCTCTCTGGTGTCTCTCTCTCTCTCTGGTCTCGCTGGTCTCTCTCTCTGGGCTCTCTCTGGTGTCTCTCTCTCTCTCTGGTCTCTCTCTCTCTGGTCTCTCTCTCTGGGCTCTCTCTGGTGTCTCTCTCTCTCTCTGGTCTCTCTCTCTGGGCTCTCTCTCTGGGCTCTCTCTGGTGTCTTTCTCTCTCTGGTCTCTCTCTGGTGTCTCTCTCTCTCTCTGGTCTCTCTCTCTGGTCTCTCTCTGGTGTCTCTCTCTCTCTGGTGTCTCTCTCTGGGCTCTCTCTGGTGTCTCTCTCTCTGGTGTCTCTCTCTCTGGTGTCTCTCTCTCTGGGCTCTCTCTGGTCTCTCTTTCTCTGGGCTCTCTGGTGTCTTTCTCTCTGGTCTCTTTCAGTATTTTATAGGGATGCACCGATCCGATACTGGTATCGATATCGGCGCCGATACCAGAAAAAATACTGGATCGGATATTTGCTAGAGAGAGGCGCCGTGCTGCCGATCCATTTTCTTTTCTTTTTTTTTTAAAATGATATATATTTTTTAATACATACCAGGTACCGCACAATGTCTTAAAATACATTGTGCATAATGTACATATACGTATAAAATGAATGAATTAAAAGTAATGTATCAGATCTCACGAACACGTCACTTCCTCGTGGCGCTCTACAACAACAACAACACAGCGTGGAGCAGGAAAGAGCGTTGTTCACGCGGCGGTAAACTAGAGAAATACAACACGACTAAGCGCCACGAGAAACTGCATGGGGAGTTTTTGCATCGAAAGGAGATTACGTGAAAACAACGAGACACAGATGACACTGACGCAGCATCACAAAAAGCGAAAGTGTTGGAGTTCATCATGGGCTCGCAGCCCCATAGACCATTTGGAACCCAGGTACATGCCGTCGCCAAATACATATCTGAAATCCACTTAAAGCTACGGTACTATTATTTATTTACATTTTCATGCAGCGTGTTTTGTTTGTTGTGTTTTTTTATTCAAACACAGATAATATAAGTACATTTATATTCAGTAAAAGTATAAGGTCTAATACAGTGTTGAATGTTTAATGTGAACATTGAGCAGCTCTTTGTAGTTGCAGTATTGCACATTTATGTTGAATCCATTTTTATCTGGAAAGTTTAGCGCTTTAGTTCATCCACTCGGTCAATATCGGTATCGGCAGAAACCCATAGCTCTGGTATCGGTATCGGTAGTAAAAAAGCTGGATCGGTGCATCTCTAGTATTTTATAATAATTGTAATATTTATTTGATTCTCAGTCGCACGAACCTCATCATCACGAGCATCGGCACGAAGTCACCGCGACGCAACAGGAAGGAAACGTGACGAACGCAAAGGATCTGACAGACGCTGGAGATTCAGACAGTGACCATGGCGACCACAGTGACCATGGCAACCACAGTGACCATGGCGACCACAGTGACCATGGCGACCACAGTGACCATAGCGACCACTCCCACGACGACCACAGTGACCATGGCGGCCACTCCCATGGCGACCACAGTAACCACGGTGACCATGGCGACCACAACCACTCCCACGGCAACCATGACCATGGTGACCATGGCGACCATGACCATGGTGACCATGGCGACCATAACCATGGTGACCATGGCGACCACTCCCATGACGACCACAGTGCCCATGCCCCTACTGAGTCAAAGATCACACCCAACGCCACAGAGACTCAAAATGGCGGCGAGGCACAAGACAGCTCGACCACGCCTCCTGCTGCTGAGAGGAGGCGGAGGAAAAGCATGAGGGGGAAGGGCCAGGCTGAAGGGGGCGTGGCCAGGAGCCGGAGGGAAGCGCCTGGACCATGGAGCCCGTCCACTGAGCCCACTCTGATTGGTTCACACCACCCAGAAGGGTCCGCCCACCAGCACGAAGAGGTGAGGCACAGTCAAAAGTTTATCCTTCAGGAAACTGTTGTGGGGTTAAAACATGAAAGGTCAAAGGTCGGGTTCTAGGGCTGAGGTGTTTATGGTCCACAAAACTCGCTATCTCAATGCTAACACGCCAGCTCAATGCTAACACGCCAGCTCAATGCTAACACGCCAGCTCAATGCTAACACGCCAGCTCAATGCTAACACGCCACCTCAATGCTAACACGCCACCTCAATGCTAACACGCCAGCTCAATGCTAACACGCCAGCTCAATGCTAACACGCCACCTCAATGCTAACCCAATAGCCAATCAAGGCAGTCTCAGTGCTCAGGGCCAAAGACCAGACTGGAGTCTTCAGATTTTACTCAACGCTAAGAAATTGGCAATTCCCTCTGCTAACCTGTGTGTGTGTGTTTTCCAGTGCCTGAACCTGACCCAGCTCCTCTCAGACTTTGGTCTCAGTCCGGACTCTCTGATCTCACCGGTCCAGTTCTCGTACCTTTGTCCCGCGCTGCTGTATCAGATCGACAGCCGCGTCTGTATCCGCCACTACCACCAGAGGGAGGTAGAGAGCACCGCTCTCCAGGCGCCCAGCTCAGGTGAGAATCAGTGAGGGTTCTATTAAAAAATATCAATCTCACTGGTCTATCTCTGGTCTCTCTCTGTACTCACCTGGTCTCCTCTCTCCACAGTGTATGTGTGGCTTTCGGGTTTTGTCTCCATCACCATCATCTCCCTCCTCTCGCTTCTCGGCGTTGTTCTGGTTCCCATCCTGGACCAGGGCTGCTTCAAGTTCCTGCTCACGTTCCTGTTGGCCCTCGCTGTGGGGACTCTGAGCGGAGACGCGCTGCTCCACCTGCTGCCTCACGTGAGTCACTGCGCGCCCTATTAACCGTGATATACAAATAAACTTGCCTTAAAGCTCGGTTACGTAGTGTTTGTAATATTTGTCTTCTATGTGACCCATACTGTCTCTATCAAGTCTCCCATCACAGCACTGTCCATGACCAGGCTTACTGCCCATGTTATTCAGTACGTTAGTGGTAACTCTGTGGTTCTCTTGCTCCAGGCCCAGGGGCAGCACGACCACAGCTCTCCCCAGGACGAGGCCTCTGATCTGGGCACGAAATTCGACGGAGTGTGGAAGGGACTGACGGCTCTGGGAGGAATCTACCTCCTCTTTATCATCGAGCACTGTCTGGGCATGTACAAGCACTACAAGGACCACCAGGTGAGACAGGGACCAGGTGAGACCAAGTACAAGCACTACAAGGACCACCAGGTGAGACAGGGACCAGGTGACACCAAGTACAAGCACTACAAGGACCACCAGGTGAGACAGGGACCAGGTGAGACCAAGTACAAGCACTACAAGGACCACCAGGTGAGACAGGGACCAGGTAAGACCAAGTACAAGCACTACAAGGACCACCAGGGAAAGAGAGAGACCAGAGAGAGAGAGATTCAGCTGTTCCACATGGTTGTGTTTTCAGTCAAAGGAGAAAAGTGACGACGGTGGAATCGGGAGGAAACTGTCGGATCACAAACTGAACAGAAGATCAGACGCAGAGTGGCTCAACCTCAAAGCTCTGCCCGAAGGTGAGAGAGCCTTGACTGACAGCTGACAGATGAGCTGATTTAACTGGTCCCTTTGCATACAAATGAATAGAATTGGCCCCAAGATAGACCCTTGTGGAACCCCTCCAATGTTATAGATGGAAAGTGATAGAAGAGTTTGATTCTAACTGATGATATCATGTTCCAGACGCCGACAGCAGCGCAGCGTGTGACGTCGGCCTCAGCGAGACTCAGCTCACAGACGTCCAGACCTCAGACTCCACCCTCCCTCCCCCCGCCTCACCCCCACCCCCCTCTCTGCCCTCCCCCAAGAAGAACGGACACAAAAGCCACGGACACTCGCACAGGTTAGAACCAGGGGGTGAGACCAGGAGGTGAGACCAGGGGGTGAGACCAGGGGGTGAGACCAGGGGGTGAGACCAGGGGGTGAGACCAGAGGGTGAGACCAGAGGGTGAGACCAGAGGGTGAGACCAGAGGGTGAGACCAGAGGGTGAGACCAGAGGGTGAGACCAGAGGGTGAGACCAGAGGGTGAGACCAGAGGGTGAGACCAGAGGGTGAGACCAGAGGGGATAAAGAACCTCATCCACAACTACCACCAAAGACTCCAAACTGTCATAGTTGCTAAAGGGAAACTGAGAACTGGAACTATTGAGAACTAGGGGATGGAAACTTATGAGTTTGTGTCTAATGCGTTGCTATGGTGACAGGCACTCCCATGGTCACGGCCACTCCCACGGAGGAAACTGTCACTCAGACCAGGACATGAAGGACGCAGGCATCGCCAGCATTGCATGGATGGTCATCATGGGGGACGGCATGCACAACTTCAGCGACGGATTGGCCATCGGTGTGTGTGTGTGTGTGTCTGTGTGTCTATGTATGTGTCTCTCACTCTGTGTGTCTGCATGTGTCTCTCTGTGTATGTGTGTCTCTGTCACTCTCTCTCGCTTTCCCTCTGTGTGTGTGTGTGTGTGTGTACATATGTGTGTACATATGTGTGTATTGAACCTTGTGGTTTCTGCAGGAGCTGCGTTCAGTGCTAACCTGACCGGAGGCATCAGTACATCTGTGGCCGTGTTCTGCCACGAGCTGCCGCACGAGCTGGGTAAACAACAACAACAGTTACACTAACATACACACAGCTTAAGGAATCCTCTACACTGTGTGTGTTTCTCTCTGGGCTCTGTGTGGTCTCTTTCTGCTCTGGTCTCACGGTGCCTCTCTGGTCTGGTCCTCAGGGGACTTTGCGGTCCTGATTAAAGCTGGGATGAGTGTGAAGCAGGCGATAGCGTATAACGTGTTGTCGGCGCTGATGGCGTACGTGGGGATGGTGGTGGGGACGGCGGTGGGACAGTACACTCACCACCTCACCTCCTGGATCTTCGCCGTCACCGCCGGAATGTTCCTCTACGTGGCCCTCGTCGACATGGTAACAACACCTGTCAATCACTGGATTCAGGAGGGGGAGGGGAGGGGGAGGGAGAGGAGGAGGAAACAAGAGTGGGTGGAGACTGGTGCAGGAGGAGGAGACAGGAGTGGGAGGAGACTGGGGAGGAGGAGGAGACTGGGGTAGTGGAAGGAGACAGGAGTGGGAGAAGACGAGTGGGAGGAGACTGGGGGAGGAAGAGACAGGAGTGGGAGGAGTCAAAAGGAGGAGGAGAGGAAAGGGCAGGAGTAGTCTTGAGTGGACAGGGGTGGTTTGAGGGCCGCTCGATGCCGCTTGCTGCTGTAACTCCTCTCTTCTTCAGCTGCCTGAGATGCTGCACGGTGACAGCGAGGACCACAAACGCTGTCAGGTCGGTCACTTCCTGCTCCAGAATCTGGGCATGATCACCGGCTTCTCCCTCATGCTGCTCATCGCCATCTTTGAAGATCAGATCGTGTTCGACTTCAGCTTCTGACGTCACACACACACCGCCCCCAAACTGCCCTCACTGAGGACCCTCCCCCTCCACCCCCGTTCCTCTTCTCTCCTCCCCCCTTCCCACACATTATAGACTCGTACGTCCTGCTGGATTTAAACTACTTAAATATCTTGGTGAAATCTAAAACTATGGCACCAGATGTTCGCCCTCCCTCTCTCCCCCTTCACTCCCTCACTCCCTCCCTCCACCACTGGATGTCGTGGCTGAGAACAGAACTTTATGAAAAGCTCTTAAATCCCTGATGTTGTTGATGATCTGTTCTGTTTCTCTGAGGACCAGACTGTTGAAAACCAGGTCCCTCAGCTTTAAATCGCTCGTAAATGGATCTAATTCTGAAGTATTCGACTCAAAAGCTGCTGTCGGTGTTACGCGTGTGTCTGCGTCTTGTGATGTCATCAGCGTGCGCCCGTGTTGTGTCTGTGAATTTTGTCTTTTTCCCCCAGAATGGCAGGGGAAGGAGTGTTGCTCACTTTAGCCTGTCGCCGGTTTTGACTAGTGGCTTCCTTTGGTACTGCAGCAGAAACACCCAGAGAACATAGAAGTAGATTCAGCTGATTTTTTTAGTCTTATCTTTGGGATCAACATTTGTCCATACTGTCATTTTTATTCATGTGATGGAGGAATGCGGTTCAGGTCAAGGCTTTTCTTCCCCTACCATCCTGTGGAAAGTATTCGTGTGTCTTTGTGCCAAGCCCCAAAGGAAACAGTGTTATGCTCTAGATCAGCTCTGGGCCTCGTCTCTCGCTTTATCCTCGATTAAAGCAATAACCGGAAAATAATGTTTGTATTTGATACAAAGGAAAGCACAACTATTCAAAATGTGAAAATCGAAGCTGTTGTGGTGCTTCTGAAGTACTTTTCTTTTCTACAATAACAACAGGCCCAAATCAGAGCCCTGAGGTACTCTCTGTGAGTTTACATACATATGCTAACCCACTAGCTCAATGCTAACCCGCTAGCTCAATGCTAACCCGCTAGTTCAATGGTCATATACTAGCTAAATGCAGAAGAGGCCAATTTGAACATGAGCTAGCTGGAGCAAATTTCCTTTTATGGGGATTTGTTCCGACGATATTAGCTTCAGGGGTGATGTGTTGCTAAGATGGTTACTAAGGAAAGCTGGAGTTTCCCCTGTGAGTGAAGGCCTCTGATTGGTCAATCCTTACATGGCTCATTTGTGGATTTACAAAGACAACATCACAATTCAAACAAACACCAGGATCATAGAGAGGGAGATAAACCACAGATTTCAGCCCAAAATGGTGAGTGTGACACAAACCGTTACTGAGCTAGAGGAGTTTACATTTCCTATTGGGCGTCATTGAGCTAGCAGGTTAGCACCGTCCGTCTGTATACAGTCTGTGTATACAGACATTAGAAGAACATTGGGCCTGAACACAAGCCTTGAGGTACTCCCAGTGAGTTTACACGTCTCATGGTCCGAGCTGTTTCTAGTCTCTGTCTGTTCAATCGCAACACGTTTAAAACTGTAAAAGTATGACATCATTCCGCACTTAAGCCACGAGTGTCGCTCATCCTGGTCGTCTCTTATTCCATTTTACATGTTTCTCCATGTATTGAATGTACTCACGACTGAGGCCCAGTGCTGAAGCGATACGACGCCAAACTGTCCAATTTGCTGCTGATTTTGTACGATTTGATTTTCAGTTTTATTTCTTTGTTGCCAGAGTGAGAAAAAGTAATTCCAGTATTTTAGCTGCGTTCTCTGGTGTCTGGTGCTGAACCTGCTGTAACTGTACATATGTGTTTTTGTTCATAGTTTGAAGAGTTATTTTGTGTTTCACTTGTTTAGTTTGTGACAATCGCTTTAGTTAAAGCTGAAACATCCTCAGTGCTGGGACTCGCCTCTGCGCAGATCTGACTATTTATAAGGGTACTCTGATGAAAACCAGTTCAAGGCCTAAAAAGTAGAGCGTCCATTCCTGCATTCCAGACCCAACTACAATTATGTGTTTTATTTATATGTTCAAAACATTATTGAGAAAGGCCACGGCCCCTCCATTAGCCTGTCACGCGAACCGGGGGTGTGGCCTGACAGAGGGGGCGTGTCTAGATCGAGGGGGCGTGGTCTGACATTTCTAGATTGATTTGACTTGAACGCTTCTGGATTGAGACGACATTAAATTATTCAAGGTCTTGAACGTGGCTTTTCACTGTTTTTTTTAAGGCTTCACACAATCTTTGGTTTGATCATAAATCGTTCTGATGTTTTTACTCTTCTGAGTAACTCCTCATGTGCCTGTGGAGCAGCCAACTCAAGGACTTTAGTTTCAAATGAATAAAGTTCATGCATTTTATATCATAAACGTGTCTGTTTTCATTATTCAGAGTGAGGAGTTTGTAATTAGCCTTGTTAGCTGTGTTAGCGTTGTTAGCTCCTCACTTTCTGTTTGTCAGAGTCACTGAGATGAGACCATATTCATTAGACTGAAGCACGTTACGACTTTGTTTGGTTCAGAGCGTCTGGTTTATGTCCTGGGTTTTTAAAATATGTATTTTTAATTTTTTTGTATAAATGAATGATTCATGATCTTTTTACATCATCCATCCATTTTCTTCTGCTTGATCCGTTGCCGAGTCGCGGGGGCAGCAGTCTAAGCAGAGACGCCCAGACTTCCCTCTCCACACACTTCCTCCAGCTCGTCCGGAGGGACCCCAGGGCTTTCCAGAGAGAGACATAGTACCTCTGTGTCCCGGGCTTTCCTTGGGCCTCCTCCTGGTGGGACGTGTCCGGAATACCTCCCTTTATTACATCAGTATTTACAAAATATTTGCTCAGGTCCTTCGGGTCTTGGGTCTCGGTCTCATGATCAGGTCTTTTGTCTTTACTTGTGTTCGAACCACGTCACTGTTGGAAGTTTATAATCGCAGTAACTTTTAACCTTTTATATTTAGTAAATTTTTGCTTGCATCCATAATGCTAAGCTAACAATATGCTAATGTTAATCTAACAGTGACACAGAATGTAAACTTTTATTTTCTTCATCTTTATCTTTATAAATCATTTGAACAGAAATTAAAACATAACCGATGTAAACGTGTGGTGAACTCTGAACAGTTCAAATCACATTGAACTTGAACCAACAGAGAGGGCCACACCTGTCATTGTCCAGTGCTCTGATTGGTCGCAGGTGTGCGTCGTCATGGTGAGCTCTTCTATGAGCTGAGCTGGCACAGCAGGGCCACACCTCTCAGTATCCAGTGCTCTGGTTGGACAGCGGTGTTTATCGTCATGGCGATCACGTAGTTGGTGGAGTGACCGGTGGTGGACAGCGTTCCTCTGCGTTCACTCGTTTTGTAGACGGGAGAAAGGTACGAGAGACGCTCAGGAATGTCCTCACGCTTACAGGGTTTTAGCCACATCTGCAACAACGACAGTCTCAGTCTACATCAGTCTGTATCACAGTCTGTATCAGTCTACATCAGTCTGTATCTCAGTCTGTATCACAGTCTGTATCAGTCTGTATCTCAGTCTGTATCTCAGTCTGTATCAGTCTGTATCACAGTCTACATCAGTCTACATCAGTCTGTATCAGTCTACATCAGTCTGTATCACAGTCTGTATCAGTCTACATCAGTCTGTATTAGTCTGTATCACAGTCTGTATCAGTCTACATCAGTCTGTATCACAGTCTGTATCAGTCTACATCAGTCTACATCAGTCTGCATCAGTCTGTATCAGTCTATATCAGTCTGTATCAGTCTGTATCACAGTCTGTATCAGTCTACATCAGTCTACATCAGTCTACATCAGTCTGTATCAGTCTATATCAGTCTGTATCAGTCTGTATCACAGTCTACATCAGTCTGTATCTCAGTCTGTATCACAGTCTGTATCAGTCTACATCAGTCTGTATCAGTCTGTATCAGTCTGTATCACAGTCTGTATCAGTCTACATCAGTCTGTATCAGTCTGTATCACAGTCTGTATCAGTCTACATCAGTCTGTATCACAGTCTGTATCAGTCTACATCAGTCTACATCAGTCTGCATCAGTCTGTATCAGTCTATATCAGTCTGTATCAGTCTGTATCACAGTCTGTATCAGTCTACATCAGTCTACATCAGTCTACATCAGTCTGTATCAGTCTACATCAGTCTGTATCAGTCTGTATCACAGTCTACATCAGTCTGTATCTCAGTCTGTATCACAGTCTGTATCAGTCTACATCAGTCTGTATCAGTCTGTATCAGTCTGTATCACAGTCTGTATCAGTCTACATCAGTCTACATCAGTCTGTATCAGTCTGTATCACAGTCTGTATCAGTCTACATCAGTCTGTATCAGTCTGTATCAGTCTACATCAGTCTACATCAGTCTACATCAGTCTGTATCAGTCTACATCAGTCTATATCAGTCTGTATCAGTCTGTATCAGTCTACATCTGTCTACATCAGTCTGTATCAGTCTACATCAGTCTGTATCAGTCTGTATCAGTCTACATTAGTCTATATCAGTCTGTATCACAGTCTGTATCAGTCTACATCAGTCTGTATCAGTCTGTATCACAGTCTGTATCAGTCTACATCAGTCTACATCAGTCTGTATCAGTCTGTATCAGTCTACATCAGTCTGTATCAGTCTGTATCACAGTCTGTATTAGTCTGTATCAGTCTGTATCACAGTCTGTATCACAGTCTGTATCAGTCTATATCAGTCTGTATCACAGTCTACATCAGTCTGTATCTCAGTCTGTATCACAGTCTGTATCACAGTCTGTATCAGTCTACATCAGTCTGTATCTCAGTCTGTATCAGTCTACATCAGTCTGTATTAGTCTGTATCAGTCTGTATCACAGTCTGTATTAGTCTGTATCTCAGTCTGTATCACAGTCTGTATTAGTCTGTATCTCAGTCTGTATCACAGTCTGTATTAGTCTGTATCTCAGTCTGTATTAGTCTGTATCTCAGTCTGTATCACAGTCTGTATTAGTCTGTATCACAGTCTGTATTAGTCTGTATTAGTCTGTATCACAGTCTGTATTAGTCTGTATTAGTCTGTATCACAGTCTGTATTAGTCTGTATCAGTCTGTATCTCAGTCTGTATCTCAGTCTGTATCTCAGTCTGTATCACAGTCTGTATTAGTCTGTATTAGTCTGTATCACAGTCTGTATTAGTCTGTATTAGTCTGTATCAGTCTGTATCTCAGTCTGTATCTCAGTCTGTATCACAGTCTGTATCACAGTCTGTATCACAGTCTGTATCACAGTCTGTATCACAGTCTGTATCACAGTCTGTATCAGTCTGTATCACAGTCTGTATCACAGTCTGTATCACAGTCTGTATCAGTCTGTATCACAGTCTGTATCAGTCTGTATCAGTCTACATCACAGAAGGACCCAGAAAAATGGCCCAAAACAATTAACGGGTCCAAACAACACGCTGACCTTCCCCACTGCAGCTCGTGTCGACACGGGTCTAAAAACACGGCTGCACAGACTCACCGGGGGCATGGTGTCGTGCAGCTGTTTGGGGAAAGACTCAGCCAAGAGTTTGGTCTTTCTGTCCCAGCGCGCGCCGTCCAGGAACAGGCCGCGGATGTAGACGCCTGAGGAGCAGAGGATCATGGGATATGGACTGTGTTATAGGGAAGTGTCCTGCCCAACGGCACCACAGCAGCACACCTCTGACTTAAAGAACATACAGACATCTGTTCCAATACATCCAATAAGGCGCGTCATGTGACCGGAGACTCCCTGGACGGGGCTAAACACATCTGCAGGTCTGTTTAGTTTGATCCTAAACCCTGAGTGGGAGCACAAACAAGGCTCTGCATTCCGGATCAGGGAAGGACCCGGTCTGGACCCGGTCTGGACCCGGTCTGGATTAGTAAATCAGATGGTTATAGAGTTATAAAGTTTAAAGTGTTGTAGAGCTGCAAGCAAAGCCTCAGTCCTGGGTCTACAGCCTCAGTCCTGGGCCTACAGCCTCAGTCCTGGGCCTACAGCCTCAGTCCTGGGCCTACAGCCTCAGTCCTGGTACCTATGGACCAATGGCTCCTATGTGTTTGAACTGTTTGATTCTCTAATCTGTTGTTGGTGAATAGACAACTTCACACATGGAGTTATAGTTATAAAGACTGAGAAAGTTTCTGATTTGAGTTTTCCGTGGATCCACTTGACTCTTTTTAATGTCTTTCTTTTCTTTCATGATTTTGGAGAGAGGTGTGTGCTGTTGTTGTGTCGTTGGGCAAAACACTTCCTCCTCACAGTTGTGTTGCTCCTCACCGTCGTCCGGACCCTTGTTGTACTGTTTGTCGTCCAGAACCTCGAAGTCGAAGCCCAAGAGGTCGATGGGAACCGTGTGTTTACGAGCAAAGTTCTGCTGAGAACCTGTGAGGAACGCCTGAGTGAAGAAGAAGCCAGAGATCCAGAAGACTGCAGGAGTGCCCTCCTCAAACCAGTCCTGGAAGAGAGGGGAGACGGGTGAGAAGAGAGAGACGGGTGAGAGGGGTGAGAAAAATGTGGAGATACAAGAGAGGGGAGAAAGGCAGGAGAGAGGGGAGGGAGAGGAGAGGGGGAGAGAGAGAATAGAGGAGAGTCCACATACTTTAAAAGAAATCAGTTCAAAGTCGAGTTTGTAGCAATTTATTCACGATAATAATAATAATACATCGGTTTTATAAAGTGCTTTTCAAGAACTCAAAGACGCTTCACAAATTCATGACACACACACACATCAACTAAACCTCAGGTCTGCTGAGGTCTGCTGAAGTCTGCTGAAGTCTGCTGAAGTCTGCTGAGGTCTGTTAAGGTCTGTTGAGGTTTGCTGAGGTCTTCTGAGGTCTGCTGAAGTCTGCTGAAGTCTGCTGAAGTCTGCTGAGGTCTGCTGAGGTCTGCTGAGGTCTGCTGAGGTCTGCTGAGGTCTGCTGAGGTCTGCTGAGGTCTGCTGAGGTCTGCTGAAGTCTGCTGAGGTCTGCTGAGGTCTGTTGAGGTCTGCCTGAGGTCTGCTGAGGTCTGCTGAAGTCTGCTGAAGTCTGCTGAAGTCTGCTGAGGTCTGCTGAGGTCTGCTGAGGTCTGCTGAGGTCTGCTGAGGTCTGCTGAGGTCTGCTGAGGTCTGCTGAGGTCTGTTGAAGTCTGCTGAGGTCTGCTGAGGTCTGCTGAGGTCTGCTGAGGTCTGCTGAGGTCTGCTGAGGTCTGCTGAGGTCTGCTGAGGTCTGCTGAGGTCTGCTGAGGTCTGCTGAGGTCTGCTGAAGTCTGCTGAAGTCTGCTGAGGTCTGCTGAGGTCTGCTGAGGTCTGTTGAAGTCTGCTGAGGTCTGCTGAGGTCTGCTGAGGTCTGCTGAGGTCTGCTGAGGTCTGTTGAAGTCTGCTGAAGTCTGCTGAGGTCTGCTGAGGTCTGCTGAGGTCTGCTGAGGTCTGCTGAGGTCTGTTGAAGTCTGCTGAGGTCTGCTGAGGTCTGCTGAAGTCTGCTGAGGTCTGCTGAGGTCTGCTGAGGTCTGCTGAGGTCTGCTGAGGTCTGCTGAGGTCTGCTGAGGTCTGCTGAAGTCTGCTGAGGTCTGCTGAGGTCTGCTGAGGTCTGTTGAAGTCTGCTGAGGTCTGCTGAGGTCTGCTGAGGTCTGCTGAGGTCTGCTGAAGTCTGCTGAAGTCTGCTGAGGTCTGCTGAGGTCTGCTGAGGTCTGCTGAAGTCTGCTGAAGTCTGCTGAAGTCTGCTGAAGTCTGCTGAGGTCTGCTGAGGTCTGCTGAGGTCTGCTGAGGTCTGTTGAGGTCTGTTGAGGTCTGTTGAGGTCTGTTGAGGTCTGCTGAGGTCTGCTGCGGTCTGCTGAGGTCTGTTGAGGTCTGCTGAGGTCTGCTGAGGTCTGCTGAGGTCTGCTGAGGTCTGCTGAGGTCTGTTGAGGTCTGTTGAGGTCTGTTGAGGTCTGTTGAGGTCTGCTGAGGTCTGCTGAGGTCTGCTGAGGTCTGCTGAGGTCTGTTGAGGTCTGTTGAGGTCTGCTGAGGTCTGCTGCGGTCTGCTGAGGTCTGTTGAGGTCTGCTGAAGTCTGCTGAAGTCTGCTGAGGTCTGCTGAGGTCTGCTGAGGTCTCACCTGGAGGAACTTGAGACGCTCCAGGAAGTCAGACACGTAGCTCCCCAGAGGCTTGAGGCTTGGGTACGACTTCTTCTTCCACATGACAGGAATCCGACCGTTCAGGACACTGTGGACCACCTCCTCCAGCTCTGCAGACATCACCACCAGGCCCTGAGGAGAGAGACCAGAGGGAGACCAGAGAGAGACCAGAGAGAGACCAGAGAGAGACCAGAGAGAGCCCAGAGAGAGACCAGAGAGAGCCCAGAGAGAGCCCAGAGAGAGCCCAGAGAGAGCCCAGAGAGAGCCCAGAGAGAGACCAGAGAGAGACCAGAGAGAGCCCAGAGAGAGACCAGAGAGAGACCAGAGAGAGACCAGAGAGAGACCAGAGAGAGACCAGAGAGAGACCAAAGAGAGACCAGAGAGAGAGACCAGAGAGAGAGACCAGAGAGAGAGACCAGAAAGACCAGAGAGACCAGGAAAATGTTACTGAGCAAGAGATTACTTTTACATGGAAGTCAATAGGAGCCAGAGAACTTCACCATCATAACTTCCCTATTGGGCTTCATTGAGCTGTCCCTCTGTATACAGTCTGTGTTAGCATTGTCCATCTGTATACAGTCTGTGTTAGCATTAGCATCTGTATACAGTCTATATTAGCATTGTCCCTCTGTATACAGTCTGTGTTAGCATTGTCCATCTCTATACAGTCTGTGTTAGCATTGTCCCTCTGTATACAGTCTGTGTTAGCATTATCCACAGGGATAACTGGCTTGTGGCGGCCAAGCGTTCATAGCAACGTCGCTTTTTGACCCTTCGATGTCGGCTCTTCTTGTCATTGTGAAGCAGAATTCACCAAGCGTTGGATTGTTCACCCACTAATAGGGAACGTGATCTGGGTTTAGGCCGTCGTGAGACAGGTTAGTTTTACCTTACTGATTATGTGTTGTTGCAATAGTAACCCTGATTTTAACCCTGGACTCTTCAGAACTATTATTTTAACCCTGGACCCTTCAGAACTTTTGGAACATCAAGTGGAAAACAGCTGAGGGTTTGGCTCATCTCCCACAGCACATGTAGGTCACACTGTCTCTGAACCAGGGGAACGCTGAAGGCAGAAGACAGCATGTGAGGAGGGTGAGGGGGTGAGGGGGTGAGGGGGTGAGGAGAGGTGATGAAAGAGCCTTTGGTTTTGGGTCAGATGCAGAGAGAGGTCAGGACTTTCTCACAGACTAAACCCCAGAGTCTCAGTTTGAGTCCCAGCCTGGAGCAGGCCCATCTTCAGAGGTTGAGGCTCTTCGAAACCAGAGCAGGAGGACTTGATCTAACGAGCCTCATTCCCAAATATCTTCTAAGAATCTTTTTTAATTTATTCTGCGTAAAGTCGTTCTTAAAGAGCTAAACATCAAATCAACTTTTTTTAACTCATAAACTGCATAAATATTATTGAATAAATATAATGCTGCTATAATAGTGCTCTCTACATATCCTGGTTGTTTTTTCTGACATTTTAGTGCAAATTAGATAAAATTTCACTTTTGAGCCTAAAAATGTCTGTGTGGCGCCCCCCTCTACCTTTTTGGTGGTACTACATTTGAATTTGGTCCTGGCCTCTCCCTTGACTCTGAAATTCTGTGAGTTTGTGTGTGTGACGTCAGTTTGTGTGTGTGACGTCAGTTGGTGTGTGTGACGTCAGTATGTGTGAGTGGCGTCAGTTGGTGTGTGTGACGTCAGTTGGTGTGTGTGACGTCAGTTGGTGTGTGTGACGTCAGTTGGTGTGAGTGGCGTCAGTTGGTGTGTGTGACGTCAGTTGGTGTGTGTGACGTCAGTTGGTGTGTGTGACGTCAGTTGGTGTGTGTGACGTCAGTTGGTGTGTGTGACGTCAGTTGGTGTGTGTGACGTCAGTTGGTGTGTGTGACGTCAGTTGGTGTGTGTGACGTCAGTATGTGTGTGTGATGTCAGTTTGTGTGTGTGACGTCAGTATGTGTGTGTGACGTCAGTTGGTGTGTGTGACGTCAGTTGGTGTGTGTGACGTCAGTTGGTGTGTGTGACGTCAGTTGGTGTGTGTGACGTCAGTATGTGTGTGTGATGTCAGTTGGTGTGTGTGACGTCAGTTGGTGTGTGTGACGTCAGTTGGTGTGTGTGACGTCAGTTGGTGTGTGTGACGTCAGTCGGTGTGTGTGACGTCAGTCGGTGTGTGTGACGTCAGTCGGTGTGTGTGACGTCAGTCGGTGTGTGTGACGTCAGTCGGTGTGTGTGACGTCAGTCGGTGTGTGTGACGTCAGTCGGTGTGTGTGACGTCAGTCGGTGTGTGTGACGTCAGTCGGTGTGTGTGACGTCAGTCGGTGTGTGTGACGTCAGTCGGTGTGTGTGACGTCAGTCGGTGGTGTGTCGGTGTGTGTGACGTCAGTCGGTGTGTGTGACGTCAGTCGGTGTGTGTGACGTCAGTCGGTGTGTGTGACGTCAGTCGGTGTGTGTGACGTCAGTCGGTGTGTGTGACGTCAGTATGTGTGTGTGACGTCAGTTTGTGTGTGTGACGTCAGTTTGTGTGTGTGACGTCAGTTGGTGTGTGTGACGTCAGTTGGTGTGTGTGACGTCAGTTGGTGTGTGTGACGTCAGTTGGTGTGTGTGACGTCAGTTGGTGTGTGTGACGTCAGTTGGTGTGTGACGTCAGTATGTGTGTGTGACGTCAGTTGGTGTGTGTGACGTCAGTTGGTGTGTGTGACGTCAGTTGGTGTGTGACGTCAGTTGGTGTGTGACGTCAGTTGGTGTGTGACGTCAGCTGGTGTGTGACGTCAGTTGGTGTGTGTGACGTCAGTTGGTGTGTGTGACGTCAGTTGGTGTGTGTGACGTCAGTTGGTGTGTGTGACGTCAGTTGGTGTGTGTGACGTCAGTATGTGTGTGTGACGTCAGTTTGTGTGTGTGACGTCAGTTGGTGTGTGTGACGTCAGTTTGTGTGTGTGACGTCAGTTGGTGTGTGTGACGTCAGTTGGTGTGTGTGATGTCAGTTGGTGTGTGTGACGTCAGTCGGTGTGTGTGACGTCAGTCGGTGTGTGTGACGTCAGTTGGTGTGTGTGACGTCAGTTGGTGTGTGACGTCAGCTGGTGTGTGACGTCAGTATGTGTGTGTGACGTCAGTTGGTGTGTGTGACGTCAGTTGGTGTGTGTGACGTCAGTTGGTGTGTGTGACGTCAGTCGGTGTGTGTGACGTCAGTCGGTGTTTGTGACGTCAGTTGGTGTGTGTGACGTCAGTTGGTGTGTGTGACGTCAGTCGGTGTGTGTGACGTCAGTTGGTGTGTGTGATGTGTGTCTGTCTGCCCCAGTGATATAAACCCATCCAACTCTCACACACGCCCCAGCAGCAGTTGGAGTATTCTGGCGACATCTAGTGGATTAAAATTAAATTACATGAGTTGACAACCACTGCTGCTGAGATAATTCTGTGGCTTAGGTTCAGGTGTGTAGCTTTACAATTATCTTAGTGTGTAAACAAGGGTGGAATGAGACTTTCTGGTCTGTTAACTATTGCTTTAAGCAGCAATGACAACTGTCTGTTTTTTTTTGTGTGACAAGTGAGCTGTCAATCACAGCCCAGACCACGGCCAACTCTAAGCCCGCCTTCTTGTCCCTCGGTCCTCCAGGCGACGCCCTTTTTTAGAGAACATTTTCAAATGTTCATGTGGGCGGAGTCAGGCTGGGCACAGGTGTTTAGTCGCTCTTTAAGAAGATTTCTAAGAAGAGCCTACGTGGGAATCATCAACACGTTTTTAACCCTCTCAATTGTTCGCAGCTGTTCTCTCAGATTGATGAATGCCATCTCCTCATAAGCCTTAGCATAGGTACTTAGCATAGGTAACCGCCCATTAATGCCCATAAAAGGGACTGCAGGGCCGTGTGCAGACGCCACTCAGAGAGTATGGAGGACCAAAATAATGAATATATAAATAAATGTTCAATTAATTTTCATGTTTATTAGAAAATAGATTTCATTTGCAAACAAATGCATTCATATATGTGTTTATATAAATAAATATATATATATATTTATATAAACCCTGGTACCTTGATGGCTCTCTGGATGTCCCCACAGCTGCTCCTGATGGTCCTCAGCAGATGGTTGAAGCGTCCCATCTCCTGCACCAGGACCGTGTTCATGCTCTGGTTGTAGCTCGTGGGGAACGACCTCATGGCGGCCTCAAGGTCGAAGTCTGAGGGAAGTTTACTCAGAACGTCCGCCGCCACGTCCAGCACCAGCTCATCAGACGACTGACCGTCTCCCCCAGAGGCACGGGACTGGGACACAGAGGAGTGTCTGTGATGTCACACTGTGGTGATGTCACACTGTGGTGATGTCACACTGTGGTGATGTCACAAACAGGCCTCTGCACATGTAGCGCAGTATAATCAGAAATCCCTGTGAGTCACTTTTTGACTCTTAAAGCTGATTAGCTAAGGAAGTGACAAAGGTTTAATATACATGATGTGAAAACTAGACTAACACCAGGAGACCAGGACCAGGACCAGGACCAGGACCTAGACTAACCACATGAAAACTAGTGATAGAAGCAACTGTTTCAGAACACCACTCTCTTAATGATGTCACAGTGGCATATTTGAAAGCAGAGCATGCAGACAGAAGGGGCGGGGGGAGGGCAGAGTTGGAACATTGGTTTATTACAGAAACAGAAAGAGCAGGACGCACTGTTCTGATCAAATACAACTGTTTAAAGAGATTTAGGACCAAGACAGTCAGAGCAGGGACTAGAGCAGGTCTTAACCAGGACTAAACCAGGACTAAACCAGGACAAAACCAGGACAAAAGCAGGTCTAAAGCAGGTATGAAGCAGGTCTGTAAGCTCTGATTATGATTCTGAGCCATATCCTAAAGACACATATGATTCAGAAATGTGAGACTGTGGAAATCTAGTTTCACATGGAGCAGACACACGCACGCACGCACAGACAGACAGACAGACACACACACACACACACAGACAGACACACACACATACATAGACACACAGACACACATACATAGACACGCACACACACACACACACACACGCACACACATATGATGATACAGCTGCATCAGAACAATGTGTGAAGCTCTTGCTGCTGCGAGGCTCCAGGAACAAATGTGTTTGAAATATCAATGTGGATGTTAATGAGTCTGGGCCTGCAGATTGGACCAGAGAAGAACAAGTTCTGGACCAGAGAAAGATCACTTTCTGTGGCCATGTGTGGTACCTGTGACCTGTGTGGTACCTGTGACCTGTATGGTCCCTGTGACCTGTGTGGTACCTGTGACCTGTATGGTCCCTGTGACCTGTGTGGTACCTGTGACCTGTATGGTCCCTGTGACCTGTATGGTACCTGTGACCTGTATGGTACCTGTGACCTGTATGGTACCTGTGACCTGTATGGTCCCTGTGACCTGTGTGGTACCTGTGACCTGTATGGTCCCTGTGACCTGTGTGGTACCTGTGACCTGTATGGTCCCTGTGACCTGTGTGGTACCTGTGACCTGTATGGTCCGTGTGACCTGTATGGTACCTGTGACCTGTATGGTACCTGTGACCTGTGTGGTACCTGTGACCTGAGTGGTACCTGTGACCTGTGTGGTACCTGTGTGAGCAGGATGGAGTCGAACAGCAGCTGAGTCTCGGCCTGGTCTTTGGTGATGTCTGCGTTGGCGTTCATCCCAAATATCTCTGGAGACGGATTCAGAGGCAGCGCTTTGGTGTAGTCGATATAACTGTTGTACTGAGGACCAGAAAGAGACCAAGATCAGAGAGAGACCAGAGAGAGGCCAGAGAGACCAGAGAGATAGACCAGAGATATCTGAGAGAGACCAGAGAGACCAGAGAGACCAGAGAGAGATCAGAGAGAGAGACCAGAGAGAGAAGAGAGAGACCAGAGAGAGAGACCAGAGAGAGATCAGAGAGAGAAGAGAGAGACCAGAGAGAGATCGGAGTGAGGGATGTGCCCTTCAGTGTCACAACAAGTGGCATAATTACAATCAATTCGCCCTGATGATATTTTAACGTGTTTGCAAATGAGGCACATGAATAAAACATGGATCAGCGGGAGGCAAAGGGGAGGCGAGAAGAGGAAAGGGGGAGGCGGGGGGAGGAGAGGGGGAGGCGGGGGAGCAGAGGGGGTGTGTGAGTTAACTTCTGTTATCCCTAACGAGTTTGTAAAGTTGAGTTCTGTCCAAACAACATGAGAAACAGAAGCAGCAAATAACGAGCTCGTCACTCTGACAGAACAGTCTGAGCAAGAGACACGATGGAGACCAGAGAGGCCAGAGAGAGGACAGAGAGAGAGACCAGAGAGGCCAGAGGGAGACCAGAGAGAGACCAGAGAGAGACCAGAGAGAGACCAGAGAGAGACCAGAGAGGCCGGAGAGAGGACAGAGAGAGAGAAAGACCAGAGAGGACAGAGGGAGACCAGAGAGGACAGAGAGAGAGAGACCAGAGAGGACAGAGAGAGGACAGAGCGAGAGAGAGACCAGAGAGGCCAGAGAGAGAGAGACCAGAGAGGACAGAGAGAGAGAGACCAGAGAGGACAGAGAGAGGACAGAGAGAGAGAAAGACCAGAGAGGACAGAGAGAGGCCAGAGAGAGGACAGAGCAAGAGAGAGACCAGAGAGAGAGAGACCAGAGAGACCAGAGAGGACAGAGAGAGAGAGACCAGAGAGGACAGAGAGAGAGAGACCAGAGTGAGCGAGGACAGAGAGAGAGAGACCAGAGAGGACAGAGAGAGACCTGAGGGAGACCTGAGGGAGACCAGAGAGAGGCCAGAGAGAGACGAGAGAGAGACCATAGAGACCAGAGAGGCCAGAGAGAGAAACCAGAGAGGCCAGAGGGAGACCAGAGAGAGACTAGAGAGAGACCAGAGAGACTAGAGAGAGACCAGAGAGAGACTAGAGAGAGACCAGAGAGACTAGAGAGAGACCAGAGAGACTAGAGAGAGACCAGAGAGACCAGAGAGAGACCAGAGAGAGACTAGAGAGAGACCAGAGAGACAAGAGAGAGACCAGAGAGACCAGAGAGACCAGAGAGAGACCAGAGAGAGACTAGAGAGAGGCCAGAGAGAGACGAGAGAGAGACCATAGAGACCAGAGAGGCCAGAGAGAGAAACCAGAGAGGCCAGAGGGAGACCAGAGAGAGACTAGAGAGAGACCAGAGAGACTAGAGAGAGACTAGAGAGAGACCAGAGAGAGACTAGAGAGAGACCAGAGAGACTAGAGAGAGACCAGAGAGTCTAGAGAGAGACCAGAGAGACCAGAGAGAGACCAGAGAGAGACTAGAGAGAGACCAGAGAGACTAGAGAGAGACCAGAGAGACCAGAGAGAGACTAGAGAGAGACCAGAGAGACTAGAGAGAGACCAGAGAGACTAGAGAGAGACCAGAGAGAGACTAGAGAGAGACCAGAGAGACTAGAGAGAGACCAGAGAGACTAGAGAGAGACCAGAGAGACCAGAGAGAGACCAGAGATACCAGAGATAGAGACCAAAGAGAGGTCAGACAGAGACCGGAGAGAGAACAGAGAGACCAGAGAGAGAGACTCACAGCGCCCTCTGCTGGAGCGTAGTACAGTCCGCTGGGGTCAAAGCAGTAGCTCGGCTCCAAGACGATGGGAGGGCAGTAGAAGATGGACAGGATGGTCCTCAGAGTCCGTCTGTCCCAGTCGTCTGTGACTCGGCCGCCGTAGTTGCATTCTCCAGTCAGGTACCGGAGAGCGTCAAACGGAACCTCCTACAAACACACAACATGTGACTGAAGATCAAAGAACCTGCTTCATCTGGGGTCTTCAACATCTATACTACTACACAGCCTCAGTCCTGGGTCTACAGCCTCAGTCCTGGATCTACAGCCTCAGTCCTGGGTCTACAGCCTCAGTCCTGGGTCTACAGCCTCAGTCCTGGGTCTACAGCCTCAGTCCTGGGTCTACAGCCTCAGTCCTGGATCTACAGTCTCAGTCCTGGATCTACAGCCTCAGTCCTGGATCTACAGCCTCAGTCCTGGGTCTACAGCCTCAGTCCTGGGTCTACAGCCTCAGTCCTGGATCTACAGCCTCAGTCCTGGGTCTACAGCCAGATTCTCTGATCTGCTGTAGAGGAATCCACAACTTTGCAACGTGCTTTGAGACGATGCACAAATACATTGAAATAAACTGAAAGTGTTTAATGGACTGATGTAACCCTTGAGGACTGTTAACAGCTGAGGCTCTGTAGTTTGGCCTCTCATTATAAGTGGTTCCCATGACATTAGGGACCTGTCACAAAGCCATGGCTCCAGGAGGAACATGTGGAGGAGGTTGGAGTTCAGACAGATCTATGATTCTGCTCCGGTACCAACAGTTTGTGATCCGTCTCTGACTCTGATACTTAAGCAGATGTTTCTCCACTGAGCCTGAGGAGTGTGTGTGTGTGTGTGTGTGTGCGTGTGTGTGTGTGTCTGTGTATCTGTGTGTGTGTGTGTGTGTGTGTGGGTGTGTGTGTGTCTGTGTATCTGTGTGTGTGTGTGTGTGTGCGTGTGTGTGTGTCTGTGTATCTGTGTGTGTGTGTGTGTGTGTGTGTGTGTGTGTCCCTCTGTGTGTGTGTGTGTGACCGGTGTGGGACAGATGGTGGGGACACAAACATGTCCTCAGAGCTGCAGGGAGAAACACGGTTCATTAATATTCAATAAGTGACTCGACATTTGCATAAAAAGGAAAAAAGTACATATTTCACTGTAAACTACTGTGAACCACGACATATTTCAGTGACAACGGTTTCATCCGATTCAGGGACATTTTTATGTTTTAAACTGAGGCAGTCCTGGGTCTACAGCCTCAGTCCTGGGTCTACAGCCTCAGTGCTGGATCTACAGCCTCAGTCCTGGATCTAGAGCCTCAGTCCTGGATCTAGAGCCTCAGTCCTGGATCTAGAGCCTCAGTCCTGGATCTAGAGCCTCAGTCCTGGTCTACAGCCTCAGTCCTGGATCTACAGCCTCAGTCCTGGTCTAGAGCCTCAGTCCTGGTCTACAGCCTCAGTCCTGGATCTAGAGCCTCAGTCCTGGTCTACAGCCTCAGTCCTGGGTCTACAACCTCAGTCCTGGATCTACAGCCTCAGTCCTGGTCTACAGCCTCAGTCCTGGATCTACAGCCTCAGTCCTGGTCTACAGCCTCAGTCCTGGATCTACAGCCTCAGTCCTGGATCTACAGCCTCAGTCCTGGATCTACAGCCTCAGTCCTGGATCTACAGCCTCAGTCCTGGATCTACAGCCTCAGTCCTGGATCTACAGCCTCAGTCCTGGTCTACAGCCTCAGTCCTGGATCTACAGCCTCAGTCCTGGATCTACAGCCTCAGTCCTGGATCTACAGCCTCAGTCCTGGTCTACAGCCTTGGTTCTGGATCTGAGGACAGTCTACAATGTAGTCCTCAGAGACGACTGCTGTTGTGATTTTGAGTGATCCAGAAATACATTGATTGAATGGAATGGAGGTTCTGGAGTCTAACAGAAGGTTCTAGGGTCTCTCAGAAGGTTCTAGAGTCTATCAGAAGGTTCCAGGGTCCAGGGCTGGACTGGGACAAAAAAACGGCCCGGGCATTTTTTCCTTCTTAGCGGCCCAGGCAACTCAAAAGGTTCAAGGAGCCATAATTGACAAAAAAACTAAAAACAATATCTGTCTGGAGCCGCAAAAAAAACAAAACAGCGTTGTATAAGGCTTATGTGAAGGTAACAGGGGCTGAAGCTGTATTAGCTTCATTAGCTACATTAGCTACATTAGCTACCTTAGCTACATTAGCTACCTTAGCTACATTAGCTACCTTAGCTATATTAGCCTAATATCTAAATGACAAAGTAAAGGCTACAAACACATAAAAACCATTCATGATTATCAAATGTGTATTTTCATTGCAGCGTGTCCTGAGAGAATGACGCACCACATGACAAGTCTGCTTAAGTTTAACCGTCATGCAATTGTACAAATACAGTAAATAAATCTGTTTTTTGGCTCCGAGTTCACCTGCATCACTGTCTGTTCATATCCATCACAAGCTGAAGTTTGCTGGAGCTGAATGTTCTTAATGGCCTTTTCTTTCACCGTCTTTGCGAAGGTATTTGAAGTCTGAAAATAGGTGCTCTGACTTTATGATGAATGAATCTTTCAGTGAGTAGTGTTTAAAGCTTCATTGTTCCTCCTCTTGCAACAAAACTTTTCATTACATCGCAAACATAAAGCAGTCCTTCCTCATTGACTGAAAGCAAATGTTCATTCTCATTCTTAGTCCAGTCTTATCGACTCTCTCTCTTTATCTTTGGGATCCATGCGTACACACAGATAAAATTACTAATATTACTTATACAAGTTTTTGCAGCATTGAAAAACGTTAAGAATGTTTTTCCTCCTACAGAAACCACATTGAAAATATAGCCCTCACACTCCGTTTTCAGACATTTTTGAAAAGGCTCCAGGAGCCACTTTAGGGGCACTAAAGGTTGCCGACCCCTGGTTTATACAGTATGTGGAAGCAAGTACTGTAGAGGATCAGGATGTCTGCAGTTTCAACAATAAAATAAAGTACAAAAGTCTACATTAAACAGAGTAATAAACATGTCTCAGAGTGAGGGAGGTGGGCACAGACAATACTATTGTTTGTTACAGGGATGAGAATTGGTCAAAAAAGACTGAAATGCATATTGTCAGCCATTTGCTGGCTCTAAATCTGTTTAATCTGTTCACAACATTTTACTTTTGGGCTCAAACATGAACTTTTAATGCAATGGAAAATTTAGGTACCCGAGCTTTAATTTAGAGGAGAGGGGAGACGCAGACTGTTTTCTGCAGCGGTGTATTTATTGGGTGCACAAATTACGCAAAGACATGCATGGTCCTGTGCACGTTTATGGTCTTGGGTACATGGGCACGTTGCGGCTACGCGCTCACCGTGTTGTGTTGTGAGCGGCTCCCCGTGAGCGGTTCCTGCGTCCAGCTCAGAGCCGCTGGATGCAGGAACACTGCGGCCGCTGAGGTGGTGGAATCCCGTTCGAGTACATGCAGCAGGTGCCCCGCGGACACGCGCGCTCCCCTTAAACATTTCTCAACGGATTTACACTTTTCACAAACATGTTTTTTGTATGAGGCAGACAGACCGGACCAAATATGTGCATCGGCCCTTCGGGCATTGCCCGGTACGCCCGATGGCCAGTCCAGCCCTGCCAGGGTCTATCAGAAGGTTCTAGGGTCTCTTTGAGGTCCAGACCTGGTACTGCTCTAAGAACATGTGCAGCTGTTGCACAGAGATGCGCAGGTCGGTCTCGTTGAACTCGTACGGAATGTTCCAGCCCAAAGGTCCAAACTTCCTCCTCTCCTGAGCCAGAGCGTGGAAGAAGCACAGGCCGTACAGCAGCTTCTTAAACACGGCCTGGAGGACAGAGGACGGACAGGATTTCAATGACTAAATCAGGGTTAGCAGCAGAGGACCACAGATTATACAGGCCCTGGTGTGGATTCACCTGCTCTGCTGCTACTGCTACAGCTGCTGCTACTGCTACTGCTACAGCTACTGCTACAGCTGCTGCTACAGCTATTGCTACTGCTACAGCTACTGCCACTGCTAATGGTACAGCTACTGCTACTGCTACTGGTACAGCTACTGCTACTGCTACTGGTACAGCTACTGCTACTGCTACTGGTACAGCTACAGCTACTGCTACAGCTATCTTATCTTCTCTTACTGCTACAGGTCCTGGATCAGAAGGTACTGGATCCGCAGAGACAGACCATAGAGAGAAAAAACAGTGAGAGACCAGAGAAATACCAGAGAGCTCCAGCTACAGCTACGTCCTGTATCAGAAACACACTGATCCATCTTTCTCCTGATGTGCAGCGGTTTGACTTCAGCACGTTCCAATGCTGCAAATGGCAAACAATCTGAATGTGAATATGTACCGGTTTACAGGAGCCGTCGAAGAAGTCTGGGTCAGAGATGGGGTCCATGAGGAAGGAGCGAGCGATGTTGGCCCTCAGACCCTTGGGCGCCTCGTTGGTCATCTTCACCCCGTTCTGAAGCACAGACACTGGGAACGTGGACGACGGGTAACTGGTCAGCCACAGCCGGAAGTCTGGGTGAGTGGAGTCTGGGGTCAACTCCTGTACAGAGAGAGAGGTCTGAACACACACACACACATACAGAGACACACAGACAGACACACAGAGAGAGAGAGGTCTGAACACACACACACACATACACACACACACAGAGACACACAGACAGACACAGAGAGAGAGAGAGGTCTGAACACACACACACACACACACACACACACACACACACAGAGACACACAGACAGACACAGAGAGAGAGAGAGGTCTGAACACACACACACACACACACACACACAGAGACACACAGACAGACACACAGAGAGAGAGAGGTCTGAACACACACACACACATACACAGAGACACACAGACAGACACACAGAGAGAGAGAGAGGTCTGAACACACACACACACACAGACACACAGAGACACACAGACAGACACACAGAGAGAGAGAGGTCTGAACACACACACACACATACAGACACACAGAGACACACAGACAGACACACAGACAGACACACAGAGAGAGAGAGGTCTTAACACACACACACACATACAGACACACAGAGACACACAGACAGACACACAGAGAGACACACAGAGAGAGAGAGGTCTGAACACACACACACACACACATACAGACACACAGAGACACACAGACAGACACACAGAGAGAGAGGGGTCTGAACTCACACAGACACACACTGAGACACACAGACAGACACAGAGAGAGAGAGAGGTCTGAACACACACACACACACTGTGGGTCTGAACACACACACACACAGAGACACAGAGAGAGAGAGGTCTGAACACACACACACACACACACACAGAGACACAGAGAGAGAGAGGTCTGAACACACACACACACACACACACACAGAGACACAGAGAGAGAGAGGTCTGAACACACACGCACACACACACACAGACATAGAGAGAGAGAGGTCTGAACACACACACACACACACACAGACATAGAGAGAGAGAAGTCTGAACACACACACACACACACACACACACACACACAGACATAGAGAGAGAGGTCTGAACTCACACAGACACACACACACACAGACATAGAGAGAGAGAGAGGTCTGAACACACAGACATAGAGAGAGAGAGGTCTGAACACACACACACACACACACACACACACACACACACACACACACAGACATAGAGAGAGAGGTCTGAACTCACACAGACACACAGACACACACACACAGAGACACAGAGAGAGAGAAGTCTGAACACACACAGACAGAAAGACAGACACAAACACACACACACACACACCTCACACACTCGCTCCAGTTTGCTCATCCAGGACGTGGCGAGGTGACAGTTCTGCAGGACGACCCAGGTCCCGTTCCTGAGTCCTGAGGTGATCATCTCCATGGCGATGGGACCCTGGCCTTGTCCCAGAGACAGAGAGGTCAGCTTGGTCCCGGTGAACCCCTGCAGGACACACACCATACATGTTGTTTCTCATCTCATCAGATGAGCTGGAGAAAGTGTGTGTGTAGAAGGGGTCAGTACCATCTCGTCTCCGAACTTGAGCAGCGCCGCCATGGGGTCGGATCCCGGGGAGAGGATGAAGATGAGCGGCGCGCAGCAGTGACTGTCCCCAAAGGCCAAAGACAGATTAAAGGGAGGAGTCTCAATGAACGGACGTCCCAGAGAGAGAGACACAAACTCCTGCACCATGGGGACCACCTGGACACACGCACACACACACACACACAGAGGTCAAATACACACACACACAGACAGACACAGAGGTCAAACACACTCACACACACACACACACACACACACACACACACATACAGAGGTCAAACACACACACACACACAGAGGTCAAACACACACACACACACACACACAGAGGTCAAACACACACACACACACACACACACTCACGGAGGTCAAACACACACACACACACACTCACAGAGGTCACACACACACACACACACACACACACACACAAAGGTCAAACATACACACACACACACACAGAGGTCAAACACACACACACACACACACAGAGGTCAAACACACACACACACACACACACACACAGAGGTCAAACATACACACACACACACACACACAGAGGTCAAACACACACGCACACACCAGAGACCAGAAATAGACCAGAGATAGACCAGAGAAGGGCCAGAGAGAGAGACCAGGGAGAGACTAGAAAGAGAGACCAAGATAGAGAGACCAGAGAAAGACCAGAGAGAGAGACCAGAGAAGGACCAGAGAGAGACCAGAGATAGACTAGAGATAGACCAGAGAGAGAGACCAGAGAAAGACCAGAGAGAGAGACCAGAGAAGGACCAGAGAGAGACCAGGGAGAGACCAGAAAGAGAGACCAAGAGAGAGAGACCAAGAAAGAGAGACCAGAGAGAAAGACCAGATATAGAAATCAGAGAGAGACAGTTTGCTTTTGCTGTGTCTACATTACATTACTCCTTGTACAGTCTGATAGTGCTGCAGTGTGACATCACCTTGTCGGGGCGCAGGCAGCGGATCACTAACATCCGCTGGAAGTGACTGAGTTTGTTCTGCCAGTCGTCAGGGAACGGAGTCTGATGAGGACTCTGAAGAACAGAGGAAGGACATTTATATATATAGCACATACAGTAAATACCACAGTGCAGACGGAGCACATATGGTCCTTAAGCAGAGCGTTCCATTTACAAGGAGCATATAAGCATTAATGAAGGTTGAAATCTGAGTAGTAGCAGTAGTGAGTATCTTTGATGTAAGAAAGAGCCCTGCAAGTTACCATTGGATTCTTTGGACTGAGAAGAGTAGATTGGCTGGCTCTCTGGTCTCTCTCTCTGGTCTCCCTCTCTGGTCTCTCTTTCTGGTCTCTCTCTGGTCTCTCTCTGGTCTCTCTCTGGTCTCCCTCTCTGGTCTCTCTCTCTGGTCTCTCTCTCTGGTCTCTCTCTCTGGTCTCTCTCTCTGGTCTCCCTCTCTGGTCTCCCTCTCTGGTCTCTCTCTGGTCTCTCTCTGGTCTCTCTCCCTTGGTCTCTCTCTGGTCACTCTCTGGTCACTCTCTGGTCTCTCTCTGGTCTCTCTCTGGTCTCTCTTTGCGGCCTCTCTCCGGTCTCTCTCCGGTCTCTCTCCGGTCCCTCTCCGGTCTCTCTCTGGTCTCTCTCCGGTTTCTCTCCGGTCCCTATCTGGTGTCTCTCTGGTTTCTCTCTCTGGTCTCTCTCTGGTCTCTCTCTGATCTCTCTCTGGTCTCTCTCTGGTCTCTCTCTCTGGTCTCTCTCTCTGGTCTCTCTCCCTTGGTCTCTCTCTCTGGTCTCTCTCTGGTCTCTCTCTGGTCTCTCTCTGGTCTCTCTCTGGTCTCTCTCTGGTCTCTCTCTGGTCTCTCTCTCTGGTCTCTCTCCCTTGGTCTCTCTGGTCTCTCTCTCTGGTCTCTCTCTGGTCTCTCTCTCTGGTCTCTCTCTCTGGTCTCCCTCTCTGGTCTCTCTTTCTGGTCTCTCTCTGGTCTCTCTCTGGTCTCCCTCTGGTCTCCCTCTGGTCTCTCTCCCTTGGTCTCTCTCTGGTCTCTCTCTGGTCTCTCTTTGCGGTCTCTCTCCGGTCTCTCGCCGGTCTCTCTCCGGTCCCTCTCCGGTCTCTCTCTGGTCTCTCTCCGGTCTCTCTCCGGTCTGTCTCCGGTCCCTATCTGGTGTCTCTCTGGTTTCTCTCTCTGGTCTCTCTCTGGTCTCTCTCTCTGGTCTCTCTCCCTTGGTCTGTCTCTCTGGTCTCTCTCTGGTCTCTCTCTGGTCTCTCTCTGGTCTCTCTCTCTGGTCTCTCTCCCTTGGTCTCTCTGGTCTCTCTTTCTGGTCTCTCTCTGGTCTCTCTGGTCTCTCTCTGGTCTCTCTCTGGTCTCTCTCTGGTCTCTCTCTGGTCTCTCTCTGGTCTCTCTCCGGTCTCTCTCCGGTCTGTCTCCGGTCCCTATCTGGTGTCTCTCTGGTTTCTCTCTCTGGTCTCTCTCTGGTCTCTCTCTGATCTCTCTCTGGTCTCTTTCTGGTCTCTCTCTCTGGTCTCTCTCCCTTGGTCTCTCTCTCTGGTCTCTCTCTGGTCTCTCTCTGGTCTCTCTCTGGTCTCTCTCTGGTCTCTCTCTCTGGTCTCTCTCTGGTCTCTCTCTGGTCTCTCTCTGGTCTCTCTTGTCTCTGAAGGCTAAAACAGACACATCGACACATGTGTTTATCACAGAATTCTATTGTAAGTTACATACCCCAGCTTTAAGTCCCCTCCTCTCCCTCCTCCTCCGCCTTCTCCCCCCCTCCCTCCTCCTCCCCCTCCTTTCCCCCTCCTCCCACCCTCTCTCTCTCACTGCTGTCTATCTTGTTTGCTCCTGTCGGTCTGATGAACATCTGTGTCGTCTCCAAATTGAATCAGGTCTGATTTTACAAGTGGAAGTGTGTCTGTAATGAGAGGGAGGCGTCTGTGATGGAGGAACAGCGCTGATCGTCACTGAAGCGAAAGAGAGATTTGAGGAGACACAGGCGAGATTAGTGCTGTGTGATTGTGTAGAAGCATTAGACAGACAGGTACACACCCAAGTCTCCATTGTAACAACCAGAGAGAGAGAGGAGAGAGAAGAGAGAGAGCAAAGAGAGAGCAGAGAGAGAGCAGAGAGAGAGAAGAGAGAGAGCAGAGAGAGAGCAGAGAGAGAGCAGAGAGAGAGCAGAGAGAGAGAAGAGAGAGAGCAGAGAGACAAGAGAGACCAGTGAGAGACCAGAGAGAAGAACAGAGAGACAAGGGAGACCAGAGACACACCAGAGAGAAGAACAGAGAGAGAAACCAGAGCGAGACAAAAGAGGGCAAAGAGACGCAGATGAAAAGTGCTGTGTGATTGTGTGGAAGTATTAGACGGACAGGTTCACTCTGGAGTCGCACAAACACAGACGCAGCAGCAGTTTGGAAGTGACAACGTAAAGACGACTTTGACAAGTTGCTCATTTTACAGAGAAATGAAAACAGGCTTTGATAAAACGCTTTGATCACGTTTCCAAAAACAAATCCTGAAAGACGAGAGGCCAGAGCTGTCTGTGGCTCCATTATACTGTGTTCGTTAGACTCAGCAGTGGGGAACAAAGACTTAAGTATACACACACATATACACACACACACACACACACAGTCTTAAAACACACACACACAGCCTTAAAACACACACGCACCTATAGGCTTAAAACACACACATACACAGGCTTAAAACACACGCACACACTGGCTTTAAACACACACAAGCTCATGTTTATATTGTGAATTGACCAATCAGGAGCCTTCTGTCGCTGAATTGACTTTAAACTAGCGACTAGCACGAGAGGGGACAGACCAGCGCCGCTCCTGATTGGCTCTTGGTAACTCGGCCGTAGCTACGAACAAAAGTGACTCACTGAGCTGTCGTACACGGTCTTCCACTCGGCCCGCAGTCGGAGCAGGTCCTGCCTCAGTCCCCTGTAGGTCTCCAGGTCGGACAGACGGCAGATCTCGTCCCAGGACTTCTTTGGGAGCCAGGTGCAGGGGTTAGAGTGAGGGTTCTCCAGCCCCACTCCCCCCGTGAGCAGGAAGCGCCACTCAGACTCATCCACCTGCAGCAAGAGCCTCGCATCACTACAATATCCACACAGTACTGTCATGTGACCACTGGGGGGCGTAAAATGTATAAACATTATTTTATTGCAGCTCCCTGTTCTCACACTGAGGCTTTAATTTAAACAGGGGTCTGAGACGTGCAGCTGTGGCCCCCTGGTGGACATCGCAGTGTAATGTCAGTGCGGCTCCACTCATGTGTTATACATCATTTTAAAGATGATTTTATCAAGAAAACAACTACAGTTTTTATATTGTCTTAAACACTGAACCCTGAATGCAAGACGTCAGAATTAAAAGTAAACAATTAATTATTAAGGAAAGTTAGGTAAATGATTAAACCCAGTCTATAATAAAACGCCTCATTGTCTTTGGTCCAATTCTGTTGATAAAGTCATTTTCAATTATTATTTAGTCAAAAAGTCACTGATAAATGAGTTTGATCGGATGTAAATAAACGGCCCAGAATCTCGCAAGGACGTGGAAACAGCGAAGCAGACGGCGCAAAACAACGGACCAGGGACACGCAGACAAACACATGCAAGGAGCAGCAGCGTTAGGGAGGTCACGGGTCGCGGAGGTGACAGGTCACGGAGAGGAGACAGATGAACGCTCTGAGCTGAGGAACGTGGGAAATGCTCTTGAGTCTGTTTGATAATGTTTGAGTTGCTGGACACTCAGAGTGAGCCCTCACTCTGCAGAGTCCTGGAGGAGGAGAAGAGGCTGAGCTCAGTGAAAGTCTGCGGCCTGTCACTGCTTTGGGGGATTTGTGAGTATATATGTTTCACAGTGAATCTTAATGAACAGACTTCTCTGGATTGTAGCCTTGATACACTGTGGGACAGATTTACATCTGTTGTCCCACAGTCGGTCATTGAACCCAGGACCTTCTTGCTGAGAAGCACAAGCGTTAACACACTCCTGTCTTTGTTGCACTAACTTTCTGTCTTTTTAGAACTGATTGATAGATTAAGATGTCTTGATGGACTGGCTCCTTCTTATATACTCCCCCCAGAGCTCTGAGATCCTCAGACCTGTGTCTGCAGGACACTCCTGGTCCAGGTCCAGAGTGGGACCAGTATGGACTCTCTGCAGCTCCAGACTTTCATCTTTTACAAGCGTTTGGGGCAGTGTTTGTTGTGTTGTGTTGTAAATAAAGATATATTTTATACTTACAGCCCTGGCGCTCCTTTGCGTGGCAGCCCTGACATTTAAAGGTGCAGTGATGTCACACACGGCCCGCACTCATCTCTTTGTTACGACCTTTTTTAACACTCTCTCGGCTTCTGTAAACTGTGTGTGTGCATGTGAGAGTGTGTGTATATATGAGAGTGTGTGTGTGTGTGTATATGAGAGTGTGTGTGTGTGTGTGTATATGAGAGTGTGTGTGTGTGTGTGTGTGTGTGTGTGTGCGTGTGTGTGTGTGTGTATGTGTGTGTGTGTGTAGTTGTGTACCTCTTTCTTGTGCATCAGCAGATTCACACTGAGGCCGAAGGAGAACAGGAGTTTGTCCTTTTCAAACAGTGAGCGACACACGTTCAGGTACAAGGAGTAAGTGAAGTGGTCCTTCAGGATCTGCAGCCTGAGAAACACACCACACACAGCTGAGACCAGAGAGAGAGACCATGCCCTTTGGTCCTCTGGTCTCTCTCCTGTCCCTCTGGTCTCTCTCATGTCTCTCTGGTCTCTCACCTGGTCCTCTGGTCTCTCACCCTCTGGTCTCTCACCTGTCCCTCTGCTCTCTCACCTGTCCCTCTGGTCTCTCACCTGGTCCTCTGGTCTCTCACCTGGTCCTCTGGTCTCTCACCCTTTGGTCTCTCTCATGTCCCTCTGGTCTCTCACCTGTCCCTCTGATCTCTCTCCTGTCCCTCTGGTCTATCACCTGTCTCTCTGCTCTCTCTCCTGTCCCTCTGCTCTCTCACCTGTCCCTATGGTCTCTCACCTGGTCCTCTGGTCTCTCACCCTCTGGTCTCTCACCTGTCCCTCTGGTCTCTCACCTGTCCCTCTGATCTCTGTCCTGTCCCTCTGGTCTCTCACCTGTCCCTCTGGTCTCTCACCTGTCCCTCTGCTCTCTCACTTGTCCCTCTGGTCTCTCACCTGTCCCTCTGCTCTCTCACTTGTCCCTCTGGTCTCTCACCTGTCTCTCTGCTCTCTCACCTGTCCCTCTTGTCTCTCATCTGTCTCTATGCTCTCTCACCTGTCCCTCTGGTCTGGTCACCCGTCCCTCTGGTCTCTCACCTGGCCCTCTGGTCTCTCACCTGTCTCTCTGCTCTCTCACCTGTCCCTCTGCTCTCTCTCCTGTCCCTCTGGTCTCTCTCCTGTCCCTCTGCTCTCTCACCTGGTCCTCTGGTCTCTCACCTGTCCCTCTGGTCTCTCACCTGTCCCTCTGATCTCTCTCCTGTCCCTCTGCTCTCTCTCCTGTCCCTCTGCTCTCTCACCTGGTCCTCTGGTCTCTCACCTGTCCCTCTGGTCTCTCACCTGTCCCTCTGATCTCTCTCCTGTCCCTCTGGTCTCTCAACTGTCCCTCTGGTCTCTCACCTGTCCCTCTGGTCTCTCACCTGTCCCTCTGGTCTCTCTCCTGTCCCCCTGGTCTCTCACCTGCTCCTCCGGTCTCTCACTCGTCCCTCTGGTCTCTCTCCTGTCCCTCTGGTCTCTCACCTAGTCCTCTGGTCTCTCACCCATCCCTCTGGTCTCTCTCCAACCCTCTGGTCTCTCACCTGTCCCTCTGGTCTCTCACCTGTCTCTCTGCTCTCTCTCCTGTCACTCTGCTCTCTCTCCTGTCCCTCTGCTCTCTCTCCTGTTCCTCTGGTCTCTCACCTGTCTCTCTGCTCTCTCTCCTGTCACTCTGGTCTCTCTCCTGTCACTCTGGTCTCTCTCCTGTCTCTCGGCTCTCTCTCCTGTCCCTCTGGTCTCTCACCTAGTCCTCTGGTCTCTCACCTGGTCCTCTGGTCTCTCACCTCTTGGTCAGGTCTGTGCTCCTCTCTGAGTTGTCGATGGAGTTGATGAACAGGTTGATGAACCAGCTGAGTGAATACTGGTACATGGGTTCGATGTTGGCCAGGTCAGCGATGGAGAAGAACAAGATGGCGGAGTGCAGCGCGATGGGACTGTACTCGGCTCGTGTGGAGTCGATCTTCTGCTCCGTGATCTCGGCCACGCGCTGTTTGTCCGAGATCTCGTTGGCCAGAACTTTAGAGCTGGACAGGATCTTCACGGCCGTCTCATCCTCCAGAATGTTCCCCTCAGATGAAGACAGAACCTGCAAGATCTTATCCTCGATCTCCTTCAGCTGCCTGAAAACAAGTGAGACCAAAACAGCCTCAGTCCTGGATCTACAGCCTCAGTCTTTGGTCTACAGCCTCAGTCCTGGATCAACAGCCTCAGTCCTGGGTCTACAGCCTCAGTCCTGGGTCTACAGCCTCAGTCCTGGGTCTACAGCCTCAGTCCTGGGTCTACAGCCTCAGTCCTGGGTCTACAGCCTCAGTCCTGGGTCTACAGCCTCAGTCCTGGATCAACAGCCTCAGTCCTGGATCAACAGCCTCAGTCCTGGGTCTACAGCCTCAGTCCTGGGTCTACAGCCTCAGTCCTGGATCAACAGCCTCAGTCCTGGATCAACAGCCTCAGTCCTGGGTCTACAGCCTCAGTCCTGGATCAACAGCCTCAGTGCTGGATCAACAGCCTCAGTCCTGGGTCTACAGTGGTGTCAGAGGGAATTACAGCCCCCGGTGTAAGATGTTGAATATATATATATAATGTATATACCAGAACCAAGACCAGGACCAGGACCAAGAATAGGACCAGGGCGAAGGCCAGAACTAGGACCAGAATTAACACAAAGTCCGTGGAGGTGGATGTATGTGTTAAAAAGGCAGAAAGGACCTCCAGCTCTGAGTGTGACATCACAGATCCACATGTGGAGAGTCCCCTGGGTTTGCTCCACTCTCACTTTGTCTCACAGTAATTGAGACGACTACAGTCCGTATGTGGAGCAGCAGAACCCTGTGAGTCAAATATAGACTTTTAAGACTGGTTCTGTTTAAACTGGGTCAATGTGAAGCAGTGAGAGGAGAACTGAGACATGATCTTAATAAACTGAATAGACCCCACAGGAGAGCTAGACCTGCTCCTCTCCTCTCTCTCCCCTCTCTCCTCAATCTCTCCTCTCCCTCATCTTCTCTTTCCCCTCTCTCCATCCACTCCTTCATCTCCTCTCTCTGCTCCGATGCTCCCTCTCCTACCTCTGTTTAATCAACTTCCCCATGGTACATACTCCTCCTCTGCTCTACAGCGCCTCCTCTCTGTGAGTGATGGTACCTCCTTCTCTGTAGCCACTATACCTCTTGTTCTCTGCTCCCTGGAGGATCAGCTCCTGCTTCTCCTCCTCCAGGTCGGGTCTCTCTCGGGCCACCACGATGCCCAGCAGCTGGTCCTGGATGCCCTCAGGAGTGATCATGAAGTTCAGCAGCGTCACCTACAGGCCACAGACGGAACAACACCACACATCACACATCTAGGACTGGACCCTGAAAAACCCAGACTCCGCTGTATCCGAACGACTGGGCATCGAACCCGCCTTACGACCTTTTCTTTACAGTGGGAACACTCCGACTTAATATACGTGCAATTTAATACAATAGTTTTCTATGTCTCTCTCTGCTTTCGGTCTAGTCTCACTCTCTGATCTCTCCAATCTCTCTTTCTGCTTTCTCTCTCTGATCTCTCTCTGGTCTCTCTCTGATCTCTCTCTGTTCTCTCTCTGGTCTCTCTTTGGTCTCTCTCTGGTCTCTCTCTGTTCTCTCTCTGGTCTCTCTCTCTGGTCTCTCTCTGGTCTCTCTCTATAGTCTCTATGGTCTCTCTCTAGTCTCTCTCTATAGTCTCTCTATCTGGTTTCTCTCTAGTCTTTCTCAGGTCTCTCTCTGGTCTCTCTCTATAGTCGCTCTCTGGTCTCTCATTGGTCTCTCTCTGGTCTCTCTTTGGTCTCTCTCTGGTCTCTCTCTATAGTCGCTCTCTGGTCTCTCATTGGTCTCTCTCTGGTCTCTCTCTCTGGTCTCTCTCTGGTCTCTCTCTGGTCTCTCTCGGTCTCTCTCTCTCTCTCTGGTCTCTCTCTGGTCTCTCACTGGTCTCTCTCGGGTCTCTCTCGGGTCTCTCTCGGGTCTCTCTCGGGTCTCTCTCGGGTCTCTCTCGGGTCTCTCTCGGGTCTCTCTCGGGTCTCTCTCTGGTCTCTCTCTGGTCTCTCTCTATAGTCTCTCTCTGGTCTCTCACTGGTCTCTCTTGTCTCTCTCTGGTCTCTTTCAATAGTCTCTCTCTCTTGTCTCTCACTGGTCTCTTTCAATAGTCTCTCTCTCTTGTCTCTCACTGGTCTCTCTCTGTTCTCTCTCTGTTCTCTCTCTGTTCTCTCTCTGGTCTCTCTCTGGTCTCTCTATAGTCTCTCTCTGTTCTCTCTCTGGTCTCTCTATAGTCTCTCTCTGGTCTCTCTCCCTGGTCTCTCACTGGTCTCTCTCTGTTCTCTCTCGGGTCTCTCTCGGGTCTCTCTCTAGTCTCTCTCTAGTCTCTCTCTGGTCTCTCTCTCTGGTCTCTCACTGGTCTCTCTCTGTTCTCTCTCGGGTCTCTCTCTAGTCTCTCTCTGGTCTCTCTGTGGTCTCTCTCTGTTCTCTCTAAAGCTTGTCTTTAGCCTCAGCCCTGTTAGCTGCAGAGTGTGTCGGAGGTTAATAGTTCTCAAACCCAAATGAGCCGCTGCACTTTGTGTAATTCTGTTTGTATCGACTCAGAGGTCGTCTAACCTGCAGCTGCGTTTAGCTTCACCGACACTAAAACCACAGACATCCCCCTACCCTTCTGTCTAATGCTCTGTTTTAAAACTATAATATAAAAGCAGATTTCCCACTCGCTCTAGGTGGCAGTGTTGCTAACCCACCACAGTGTTAGCTTTAACGCGGAAGAGGCCGATTTGAACATAAGATGGAGCCAGTTTCCTTATATGGGCATTTGTTCTGATGACGTCAGCTTTGAGCTGTTTTGCTAAGACGGTTGCTAAGACGGTTGCTAAGACGGTTGCTAAGGCACAGTTTCTTCTGTGAACGACAGCCTCGGATTGGATTTACAAAGATTATATCACATATAAACAGCATGATCACAGAGAGCGATAAACCACAGATTTAACCCAAACTGTGAGAGCGACACAAACGTTACTGAGCTCGAGGAGTTTACTTTTACATGGAAGTCAAGAGCCAGACCAAGGAGCCAAACTTCACCATGAGCACTTCCCTATTGGGCATCATAAAGATAGTGGGTTGTTGTCCATCTGTACACAGTCTATGGTCAGGTGCACCTGACGTCGTTGGAATCGCTCAGAGACTGAAACACGTGAGGTTTGTTCACTTCATTAATGACGGAGAAACTGCTCCGATCCTGATACAGCTCAGAGCAGTATTTACATGGATTACAGAATACAGATTATAGATTATAGACTAAGCATTGGCCTGATTACTGCTGCTGTAATACGTTTAACATGTTTACAGTGTGAGTTTGTTTCACACTCAGCTGTTTTTGATTCACTTTCTTTTCATCAATGAAACATGAACAATTCAAAGTCTGAACTATTATCTGTAAAAGACTCTGTGGTCCTTGTTTAGTCCTGCTTTAGTCCTGCTTTAGTCCTGCTTTATTCCTGCTTTAGTCCTGCTTTAGACCTATTTTATACCTATTTTAGACCTGCTTTAGACCTGCTTTAGACCTGCTTTAGACCTGCTTTAGACCTGGTTCACTGGACCAAATTAGCCCAGTATAGATTGTGTTAGATCCATACAGCTCTGGGCCATTATAACGTCAGGTGTGGTCTTTGAGTGTGTGTGTGTGTGTGTGTGTGTCACTTGTTTTCAACTCCTGGTGGGTTCCATAACCTGAGATTCCACTCACGTCATGGAGACTGGTTTTACGTGGTGGGGCCCGAACACCGGACCCCACTGGTCCAAGCTTAATAATCAATGGGTAATGCTTTTCTAACGGTCCTTATGCAGTCTCTGTAAAAATATGGAAAGGACCCCTGGAGGTTTACTTTCCTGAAAAAAGTGTGTTACGTGTCGGAACCCTGGTGGTGGATTGCGGGATATCAAGGAGGGGCACACTGGGGCAATTTCAGTCCAGCAGGCTGGAGCCAATCATGGAGCAGCACAACAGAGGCTGGAGCCAATCATGGAGCAGCACAACAGAGGCTAGAGCCAATCATGGAGCAGCACAACAGAGGCTGGAGCCAATCATGGAGCAGCACAACAGAGGCTGGAGCCAATCATGGAGCAGCACAACAGAGGCTGGAGCCAATCATGGAGCAGCACAACAGAGGCTGGAGCCAATCATGGAGCAGCACAACAGAGGAAATCAGGTGTCAGGCTAGAAAAGGTGCAAGTGTGTGGTTCATTAGGCTGCAGCCAATCACAGAGCAGCACACTGAAGCGCACGCTTACAAACCACTGGTAAGTGCTGACTACAAGTCATGACTTCAAATTGTTATATAGAATTATTACAAATTATTTGTTGTTTGTGCAGCTTAGTCAAGAGTCCCTAATTGATGAAGTCGACTCAGATTCTGACGATTTAACTGTCAAGAAGAAACCTGTAAAAAAGTATGGAAAAAGAAAAATCAAAAACACTTTTCTTCAAGACTCGGAAAGTGACGAACCAAAGGCAAATAAGATTGTTATCATGCAGCTGCAAAAGAAGAAAAATGGGGGCAGAGTTTACAGCAAGAGACACTTCTGCCTCTACTGTTCAATGTCCTGCCACAAAATGTCCCGTCATTTGACTAGAAAACATGGAAATGAAAGTGACGTAGCCAGAGCATTGGCTCTACCTGTGAAATCTAAAGCACGTAAACTTCCCTTTGATTTGATCAGGAATAGTGGAAACCGTGAGCACAATGTTGAGGTTTTAAAGGCCGGCATTGGAACTTTAGTCCCAGCTAAACAGCCAAATTGCCCAGTTAAATCCAGTGAGTTTTTGCACTGTATAGACTGTGGGGCATTGCTTAAGCGAAAGTCGCTGTGGAGGCATGTGGCCAGGTGCCGGCTTTCACAGAAAGATGCCCAGGCTAAACCAGGTAGAAGTAGGGTCCAGTCCCTCTGCTCCCTAGCCCAGCCTGTACCGGAGGGCATCAGCAAAAAGCTGTGGTCTTTAATTTGGGCAATGCATCAGGATGAGGTCACGGGTGTTGTCAAAGCAGAAAAGGGGATTCTGAGACTCGGAGAGCACCTGTACTTAAAACACTTCAATCAGGGTTCTTTTGACTCCTGAAATGATTGCTTGGATGGAGGTGATGGTGGAGAACAGAAGGGCCTGTTCCATCTCTGACCATAAGCCATACTTCTTTTCCCGCCCGGGCGCAGACACCCACATCAGGGGATCAGACTCCCTACGCCAGGTCGCCAAAGAATGTGGTGCGGTGCATCCAGAGATGCTATCCTCAACCAAACTTAGAAAGCACATAGCTACTATGTCTACAGTTCTCAATATGAAAGAGAATGAGATGGACATACTTGCCAACTTCCTCGGCCATGACATTTGCATCCACAGACAATATTACAGACTACCAGAGGGGACACTGGAGCTGGCCAAAATCAGCAAAGTGTTGATGGCCATGGAGCAGGGAAGAGTGACGGAATTCGAAGGAAAGAGCCTCGACCAGATACAAATTGAGCCTGAAGGTAATTCTTGATATTATTAAAATATGTATAATTTTTTTCCCCTAAAGGCCACTTGTATTTTTATTTTCTGTGCGACAGGGAGAGCAGTAGAGATCCTCTCACAAACGGACGGACTAAAAGAAACTTCAAGCGGAGAACCTTCAACCATTCATCCAGATGCACCCCATGGTAGTGGCAGTGCCCCTTCTGGTAAGTGTACCAGGTGGGGGATTACAGCCAGGCTGCTTGGTCCTAACCCTGGGAGTGTATATTGCTAATATATTTTTATTTCTCTCCCTAGAACGTTAGAGAAAGCCATGGTCTGCATCTGAGGTGAAGGCTGTGGAGAAGACCATGACACCTTTCATACAGACTGGAAAGGTCCCTGGGAAGTCTCACTGCCTGGCCTGGCCTGGCCTGGCCTGCATTAATGCCTCACCAGATGACCTTAGACATCGGACATGGAGTGGCATTAAATTCTATGTCAAAAATAGAATCACTGCCATTCGAAAAAAAAAATCTAAAATAAAATTCCTTTAAAAGAGTTGTTTGTTTTCTATTGACTGTTTTGTATTACTTAAAGTAGTCCCAGTAAAAAAGATTATGTCTATGGGTCCCATTCTGAACGGCCCTGTCAAAGGGACCCACCAGGTAACAAAAACGTGTATGTGTGTGTGTGTGTGTGTGTGTGTGTGTCTCTCTTTGTGTTTGTTGTGTGTGTGTGTAATGTGATCTGAGATGATGTGTTTCAAAGCATATGGATAATGCGGTTTACGAAGCCCTTTGTGAAAGACCAGTGTGAGTCTGTCCTCATCCTCTGCCTCCTGCTCCTCCTCATCCTCAGACTGAAAAAGACATGCTGCTGTCCTCGTTATGAGGCGTTGTGGTCCTCAATATGAGGCGTTTTGGTCCTCGGTGTGAGTCTCTCCAGTTTTGACTAAAACAGATTGATTGAAAAAACAACTCTGTAGTATTCACCACCACAAGTATGCATTTATGTGAAGCTAAGCAGGGCAGGGCCTGGTTAGTACTGTGATGGGAGGCCTCTGGGAACACCAGATGCCACAGTGGGGCGGCTGCGGGTGAGTAAGTGCCTGTGGTTGTGTCCTTAGGCAAGACACCATCCAAATTAGAATGAGTCTGGTGTGAATGCTACAGTGGTCATTCAGGACAATATTTTGGTCAGAAGTATCAGTAGCAGTAATAGCAGTAGCAGTAGTATCTTCAGTCCCTCACAGCTGCAGTGGGGCGTGCCTCTGACTGATACAGTTACGTTTTGTCAGTAGTTTCTTGTGAACAGTGAGTTCCTTCAGCCTCGATGTCGTTCACAGAATCATCATTTAAGACGTTAATAAAAGACTGGCGCTTTAAACTGAAAGAAACAAAAGCCACAGCAGGTTTCTCACAATCAACTATTGTTTTAGGAGATGACTACAAGCACTGTCACAGGTTTGAGTAGCATTGTTTTTAACAGCAGTAGTAGTGGTAGCAGCAGTAGTAGTAACTCACCTCAATCACATTCTCACAAATAACAGTTTAAAACCACTGACACAGTTGGCCCAGCAGTATGGCATTGGGAGTAAATGCTTTCTTGAATACTTACAACTAAAATCAGCAATCCAAAAAAAAATCAACATGCAAACAATAAATCTAGGCCTTCATGATACAATTGCGGATTTCATAAATATTCCCCCCAAAAAACTGAACACCAAAATATACAAAATAATCACCAAATCAGATAATACACAATCTCTTCCAACTGCAAAGTGGCAACAAGATTTAGCATTTACTCCCAGTGCCAACTTATGGACCCAAATCTGCAAAAATATGTATTCAATGACCACCAACTCCAACCTCCAACTCATACAATTCAAAATCCTACACAGATATCACTACACCAGTTACAAATTATCAAAACTGGGATCCACTTCAGACATCTGCCCACACTGCACACAGGGTTGTAGGGACAATTACATTCACGCTCTTTGGCACTGCACTCC